GTGAAATGTTTCGTTCAATTTGATTTGGCAATTTGGATTTATCAACTGTGTAATAATCTACGGTTCGTGGGTTGGATTCACATGGGGTCCAACAATTTTCCAATCAATATACAGTTTTTCTGAAACACGTTGAAATAGAGAAATTCTATATATTAAATGGGTGGGAATAGCGAAATTTCGTCTGCGTCACGACCTACCGTCCTCCTATAACCGTCTAATCGCGTTTCAGTTTCAGCCTGTAGATTTCCGAATATCCAATGCCAATAGGTCGACCGCGCATCTTGTTTAGATGTTATATGACTATGGTATTTCACCAACAAGCGAACCCCACTTGTCTATCCTCCGCTGACATAATTACTTTGTTAATCTAATAAATGTAAGATAAATAATACGAAAATGGAAACGGTTTTACCTCTGCACGGACGCATTAGCCGTTCGCATTTCGAGATTATTTATTTAGGTTGGGAGCACGAAGCTCTCGAGATTATAATTATTTGTTCGCCGAGTCTATCTCGCTGGTGCGGCAGACAATAGATCAACTGCCAAAAGCAACGCCGCGGCTTCGGATATTACCGTGAGACATTTAATTTTCTACGTGAAAGGATAAGGCAAGTAGAATTTCCCAGAGCTTCCTGAAGACGCTCTCGAATTGCGTTACGGTTCGCTATAAGCGGAGCGACCACATAATAATCTAATGATGTCACCGAGTTAATCTCATGACTTTTACTGTAATACTTTTCCGGACGAACATTTTAACAATTTCCAAGACAACCTTATCCATTTTTGGATAATTGTGAAGGCGATTCTATCTTGAGAAACAGTGTAAACTACGACAACATTTTCAGAAACAAATACTTTTACTTTATTGTTGAAGGCCTATCAACTTTTATGTACAATATAATTACGCTTATACGACTAGGTACTTACAGAAAAGCTACCTTACTACATTTAAATATAATACTTTTAATGGTTTAAAACGCGAAACATATTAGTTAAGTTATTTACAATTTATTTTAACTATGGCCCGAGCGATGCGTCGGATGCCTTGCAGGTAATAAGCCTACCCTTGACCACAACTGCTGTAAAGCATCCGACACGTCGGGCCATAATGAAGATAAATTATAAGTAATAAAAGTAAGTGACCGAACATTTCGTGTTTTAACCCGTTAAATGATTTTTTTCAATCAAATGTGCTTATTTCATAAAAGGACAAAGATGACAAATAAATAATAGAGTATGAAGCCAAATTCCAATAAAACCTTAATCCCAACCGAGTGAATGAAACGAGTGTTTGTATGGCTTTGCTGTGCTCAAAGACAAGCTCAGAGGCAAGCCAATATACCTACTTTGAGTTATTTCAAGCTACATTTTCTAAATTTTGAAATATTTTTCCAGGTTTAAATGGATATTTAAGTTTCTTTATGCGGTGACATTTTTTAAGTTATATGGCTTGATAAAGTGTAAGAAGAATAAAATATATGTGAATAAGCGCATCTTCTAAGACGATGATCCCATGCAACCGGGTTTGACTCGCACGGGGCTTTAAATCCGGATGCGGCAACGCTCCGGAATAATCTAGATCTTACTAGAGCTGGACCCAATGTGATTTTCCTAATGCAATACGTACATGGCGGCTTTACTTACTGCACTTATACGACCCTTCCTTAAAGAGAAGTAATGGATAATAACTCATATAGAATATCGTAGTTTGTGGTTTATGTGAGAGCTTTAAACCCGCGAAGCTTCCGTGCTTAAATTGCGTACAGGTATAATATCACAGGTACAATGGCTAACGAGTATGAGTTTTAAATGCGACACTTTCATACCGTAAGTTACTATCTTACGTCCGAGACTTCGTATGCGTCGAAAATAACTGTTCAACTGGAATTTCGATGTATGGTATATAACATATATTGCCAAAAGCTGGGCTTAGGTCTAGTGTTAGAATTGTTACTCTATATATCACTCGATTTTTGCATAAGTGTATAAACATTTACTACTAACATTTGAATTAATTGATTTTGCCGTATTCAAGTATTCGCATGACTCCAAAATTTTTATAAAGTACCACGTGTGTTTTTTATATATATATTTTTTATGTATCAAAAGGGAAACGAAGAGAGGCGTAATAAAGAAGAATTAATACTCTCTGTAGTTTACGCGAGTACACATTTAAATAAAACACTTTACTGGTTAAAAACGCGGAATATATTAATTAAATTTATTTACAAATTATTTTAACTACGGCCCGACGTACCGGATGTTTTTCAGCAGCCGTAACCTTAAAGTGTTTTTTTTAAAGCAGAATAACGTTTCAATGAATCGTTAACAATTTCATGATGCAATGATGATTTATAATAATAGCTGACGCCAACATTATTTCATCTTCCACAATAGAAAAAATATTATCTCTTCAAACCTAGTATATTATACGCGTAGTTCTTACTCCGTCCGCAAAACATCCTGGACAAAACGTCTACTTCACCAGCTCTTGTTAAATTATTGACTGCGAACTCTGCAAATCACAGCACAATAGAAAAAACCAGGGATGGGCCGTTTCACATCGTTGTTTCAACCGGCAGATAATGAACTTTGGACATTCATAATAATCATCAAAAAGAGCATCTTGACAAAAGTTGGAGAAAAAGAGTGACGACGAGTATCTTGCCAGTTCTTCTCGTTCGTTCTTCGCCCTGATATACTTTTCTTTATTTTGTTTTATCGTTAAATGCACCGGTCATTATAATCACTTATACGGGTTACCTATAGAAAAGTACATATTTTATAGATATAGGACATTATACTTTATTGTCCTATGAAATTGTCAATAATAGACCGCGAAAATTGGGTAACTCGGGACATTTTTTAACGTTACCTACTTAAAACGAAAAGTTGTTAATTAAAGATCTATTTTAAGTGTGTAACACGAATATGAAATTAAATTCCCCCAATTTTCGGCCATTTTCATGAAAAGCAAGTTCAAATGAAATCCGGTTTCAGTTCGGTACAAAAAAACCCATCTCGGGAAAATATTGATAAAATAGTATAGTATACAAGTCCATTAGCATTAAATCGGAACACGACTCACAAAGGGATCATAACGTCATGTAAAAAGTTCAAAGGGTGCTTCAGCGTATTTCAGCCGGCATCAAGATTTTTTATTTTGTATTCGGCAATTATTCACTTCTAATATACAACTAATAAAGGATTCAAACAATCATATTGTATAGCGTTTTGCATCAACGCGTTGAGAGTGATAGCTAAATAATACATTAGTCATTTTAATTCGTAATTCTGGATTTTATGATAACATGCCTATTTTAATATTGAGTATGCAAACGGACATTTAAATTTTAATCTGTGTTATAATGAAACAATAAAAATACTTTGTACATAGAGCTAAAGAGTTTGTTTCCCTATTCGTCGCTAATCTCAGAAGCTACTGGTACGAATTGAAAAATTATTTTTTTATAATTATTAAGAAAGAGTGGGAAACGTGAAAAAAACGGCGGAAATTATTCATATGCGAAAACGGTTAAGACACCCAAAAATATGTATAAAAGCATGATTCCTCTTTAAATGATGTAAAAAATTGTCCGCGACACATTTAATCTATCTTTTGAGATTTACTAGCAAGAACGACGGGACCCGATCGAATGATCGCGAGCGACGGAACGCGACTGATGTCCTTGAAAACAGCTTTATAAAAATTAAAAGGAGGTTTGCAAAAACAAATTTGGACAAAATAAACTATTCGTTAAAGTACTCCAGAGTTCTCATTCTTGTTTTTATCTATTGAACATTAGACTAAGCTTGAGGCAACAAGGTTTATTTCATTATAATCGATTGCTAGTGATAATTGAAACAGCTATGTAAAGATGTCTTTATTTAGGATTTTATAAATAGTTGAGCTACACTTTCAATTCTTTATTGAAATACATACTTACTTATTAAATTAAAAATAGATTATAAATTAAAAAAATTCGGACTCGGGCAGAACATTAAAGGATTGAAGTTATTAAACATACTTATTATACAAAATTCATACTATACTTTGTCTCCCAAACGAAGTATAAGCTACAGCTTACATTCAGGCATCTTTAAATAGATACTTTAACAAAAACATATATCTCGTTAACTACATTCGTTCGTTTCGAGAACACGCTATTAAATTCCTTACGTAACATAATAAAGGTTATTTTCCTTTTTGTAAATACCCAGCCGTAAATCCCCAGGGGTGATTCCCTTTTGTTTCAATGTGAGATAAACTATATAAAAACTTACCACATAATAATATTACATTGTATGTCAGAACATGTCATTATAATTTATTCAAGTAGTTCGAAATATGGAATATCTGCTCTTATTTTTTTTCCTTTTACTAACTAAAAGACCGTACTTTTACACAGGTCCCATGGAGATTTACTACATATATGTTTATTTAAATAAATTGAACTAATGTATGCCTATAATTTGTGACGAACTTAACTTTAATTTATTATTACCGATCCCTCAAAAATTACAAAATAAATGTGACTCGACAAATATTTTCATTGACAAAACATATGAAAGTGTTCTGTTCTTAAAAGTTAAGTGAATTTATGAGTATCTACGTTTTTACTCAGTTATTAAAAGCAATACGAAACATATACTATATTGAGGTAATTTATGACGACCTAGACCTGAAAAATAAAATTGTTCTTAGCATAAAATGGCATTCGAACTGTTTTGTTCAGAGATCTAGAATAATTTCAGAAACATTGTTTTGCAATAGAAGTCCAAGAAAATTTTGGCTCATTGACCAAGTACCTAATGAATATTAATTATGTGTTTGCGTATATGGCACCGAAAATAAATTAGCATCTCATTACCAAGTCTTATGGTTATGTGGTCCTCACGGACGTCAAATTATAACAAAGATATCGTTACGGCTGTCAATAAACTGTATATATACTCAAAATCGCTCGCCAAATAACATAAATCAGTAAAAGTCGAAAAGTATGTGTCGTTTCAGTTTGTTTGTACTTTTGCTTAGCGCAGTGTTGGTGTTGGCTGAAGATCCTTCGTCTTCTGCCGCGCCTTCTTCGTCTCCAGCACCGATAACCCCTGCCACGGCAACTGCGACAACACCAAAGCCCAGCAAACCCGATGTGCGTACTACTTATGTTTTCATTATAGTTTCTTTCTTAATATAAAACCAAAGAACTCATCACTTTTAACTTAGTTTTAACGACTATTCATGGTATGTCATAATATAATAAACCATTTAAAATCACAAAGGCAGGGGTCCTTTGTGATTTTCAATGGATAATAGCGTCGTAAGCTGATTTTTATTGAAGTTTTTTCTTATTCTTTTTCTTCTATACATATTATATATATTGTGTAGTACATCATTTCGTTGCGATAAAATGATCTCTTTTCCAGAGCTTACTATCGGAGTTTGTGAACGCCGCCTTAGATATACCGAAAGGAGTTTTTAATGCCTGCACAGACGTAAGCTAACATTACCTAACTAAACTTTTATTACACTATTCCTTTTTACTATGTGATGTTCTTTTCTTGTTGCAGTTCAAAAAACTTATATTTGGTTGGTGAAATTCATTACTACGACAAAGTATATGGCAAGAAAACCATTTACACCGACAAATTGTGACTGAAAGTAATATATTTTTGAATCCCATATTTCAAAATAAACAAAACAAACCCTAAATTTTGTTTCATTGTTAATGCAACGTGGAACGATAACTTCTTTTACATTATTTTAAAAATCGAAAATAAATTGAAAAAATTTTCGACTCGGGCAGGACTTGAACCGGCATCGTCAGCTTTCCTCGTCCAAGTTCAAGTCCTGCCCGAGTCGAAAATTTTTTCAATTTATTTTCGATTTTTAAATTATATAGTGCCTTCATGTGCAATAACATGTTAACAATATTAATGTTTTCTTTTACATTACTTAAGAGTTCTTAATTAGATAAAGATGAGAAAATGTCCATAATCTTGAAAAGCAACTTTGAAAGTTCTTTGTCTATCATGTTTAATATGATTTAAGCTATTTACTATTATCTCATGTAATTATACAATACAAAGTTATAAATATGTTGATCACAAATGTTAGTGACAAATTTAATTTAATTTACTTTGTTTGGATTATAACAAACAGTTGCTAAAAATGTATTTCAATTAATTCACTCACTAGCTTATATATAGTAAACGAAGTTCTCTTGTTTGCAAATTTGATATTATCGTATCAAAACAAATCTAACAAGTAATTGGTAATAATGTTTTGATTTAAACCATATTTGATTACCATAAGGGGGGTTTTAGAGAGGCACCTAATCTTAACATACACACAATATTAGGGGACATTTTTTTAGATCATATAAAGATGAATAATTTTTATACATATTTAAAAGCCCTTATAGAATTTCTTCCCCGCACCTACCACATTTTGTACTATTTCCTCACTTCTTTTGATCGCCGCGTTATGTTAAGCCTCCCTCCAGAAATAGTCCATCCAAAACAAATCATTTTTTAATTCTAAGCTATAGTTCCTGCGATTAGCGCGTTTAAAAAACAAACTCTTGACTTTTTCTTCTTAATAATATAACTATACATTTAATGTTGAATTTTAACGCAATTTACTACTTTATTAAGTATATGTATCAATACGAAGTCCAATATAAATTGCCTTTCCGGCCACTTCTACTCTTCTGAGAATGAATTCACAACATGACGATGACAGCCCACTTGGGTCTTAGCTATTCGGCTCTTGTAATTGAGAAATAGATCTAGACGTCCCAGAACAGAAGGTGATTAGCGTTTCTCGTCTGGTAATTAAAAGAAAGTTATCTGTCTATTCTGTCTGTCTACAATAAATTCCAATGATTGATGTTATTGCTCAAGTGAGCTACGGCAAAAATAGATTTTTTTAGACTAAAATAGTTTTACGACACCGACAGGACTTGAATCGGTATCGACAGCGTTCCAACTCAATTGTGCTACCGTGTCCGTCATCGACCTATTATGCACGCACTATCGCGCAATGGAATTTCAACCTTAACACTTACGAATTAAGGTCAAAAGCGAAGCGGTGGTGGTGGGTGGGTGGGGTCAAAACAAATTATACAAACAAGCATGTCTACCTAACTAGGTTGGTAATAACAAAAGCCATGGTTAGCCATTCAATTTAAAAGAAACTTCTTATGGAATTTCTTCATACCAGTTTGAACATGGATCTGAGAGTGTTGGTATGGTTTAGTTTGTTCGCGCTTGTGGCTTGTTCAGGCAATGAAAGTGTCCCTGATACTTCAGGTTCCAAAGATAATTATAGACCCAGTGGGGTAAGGTGACGATCCTTTATAAACAATAATAAAATGAAACAAAAGCTCAAAATTTATTTTTTACATTTTATAGACCCTCGCTAGTATTGGCAGAATGTTCATCGACATACCACTCGGATTTGTAGAAGCGCTCAAAGATGTAAGAGTAAAATCTTATTGCCATTATTTTTAATATAAATCGAACATTAGGAGGTAAGATACAAATAATTGATTTTAATTATTAACAAAATATAATAAAGTAAACTGAATTTTTTTTTCAGGCTGCAGAAGCTATAGAAAGTGTCGCTGTAGCGTTGGTGAAAGGAGTTTTTAGTTAAATTTAAGCATTACCGTAGCATTGTTATATTATTCTAGATATAAATAAAACTGACTTTAATTTTCATTAAAAATATTTTTTTTATTTAACAGCCAAATGCGTACATTTAACAGACACTTAATTTACTTATAAGGGCAATAAAATGACAACTAGCAAACATAAACTGGCTAGCTACGATGAAGAATACAATATGCCTAATAAGCTATCGGCTTCCTGAAGAATACTTATAATTATTCGCATCTGAATATAAATTAAAATTGTAAACACACTTATTACAATACCTATAACTGTATACATACTTGAATATCAAGTTGACTATAAATTTTATTATATTTGTATATTATAAATAAAAACCTGTTTACCTTTAAACGGAAAATATATTCATTAATTTTTTTACTAAGCCCCATCGTTTCGGATGTTTACTGGGGCCCAACATAAAATGTGGTGAAAATGTATTTAACATTTCGGGTCTTAAAGTAAAATAAAGACAATATATTTCATAGTAAATGCATTATCCAGTTTTCTAGCTTGCGCCTAACAAATATTTCAACGGAATGAATTACATAATCTATAACAAAGTAAAAGTCGATACCGAAAACCGATCTTACCGAGTAGTTGTACAATATTACTAAATTCTATTTACATAAGGTACCACAAAATATTACGCAATAATGGTGGGGTTTAACCAAAATACTGGTATTGGATTTAAAACTAAAAACCACTTAAATATATTCGATTCGTTACACTATTTTGAATTCTGTACACTTCTTTGTAGAAAATAAAAATATCCAAATAATGTACCACTAGAACCTTGAGAATACTTAATGAATAAAAAGATGCACCTTAGGAGATAATAAAAAGAAAGGACTTTGCTTCATTTGTAGTTATAACGATATCATTTTAATAAAAGAACTATTTCAGTAAAAATGTATTGAATGAAATTAAATATTTTCTTTTAACTGATAAAAAAAAATAACTTTTAGTAGCATTTAAATATATAAATGTTCAGCGTATATCAATTATGAGATTTATAACATTCAAATAAAATTAGGAGATCATAACTAACAAATATTCTAATGACAATAATATTATGTAGTCGATAACCTAATATTCTGTTAATCTGATACCATACATGTTATTTGACTAGACCATTGGGCACGCAATTAATATAATTATTGGAATTCTTGAGAGGTTTCTTATCTATATCAAACATAATGTAGGTCGGATTAGACGCTGCAATATTTTTCGTATTCTTGTTGTAATCTTTGGCTTCAAAGACTTCATCGGGTTCTTCGTCTATTCGGGGGCGCATGTTAAGGTAGGAGGAGTGGCTTCCGTCATGGTCAGATTCGGAACCTGTCCTGCCAGGTAGATTATTGAGGGTAAGCATCGGGGTCCTCTCCTCGGGCAAGTCTGACCCGTGACCGTTGACATCGGGTATTTTAGCGTTCAATTTACGAGCGTCAAAATCAAATTTGGTGCTTGGACAACGTGGACTGAATATGTGTTGATTTTGTGGACTCATTTGTAAGTACCCTTCGTCGTCTGGAAGAAGAACTCGTATTACGTTATCAATAACCGAATTTATATTAAGGAAACTCGTGCTTTGTTACATCGGTAGAATAGATACCCACAGTTAGTCGATGAAAGTTCCAATGTGCAAAAGAAACATAAAATACATAACCAAATCTGGCAAGATGTGTTAGTTACATCAACCATGCCTTACTTATATTTTATTACCGTATGAAAGAATCTGTTTCGCGTGATCAGACTGGCGTATTTTCCGTTTCGTCTGACAAAAGGAAAAATGTATTTATTTGATGAAATTGTTATAGAAGAATTTTCTTCAATAATATGAAAAGGAATCCTAATAAAAGCGATGCGATATAAAAGATTACGCTATTCAATTATTTCATAATATTTATCTCATCTAAGAGGGAGATTAAAAAATGGTATTTAAGTGTCATGCCATACAAGCATAAACATTATTCTACGACCCTTCTACTCACTACGTTCCTACTTAGATATGTAATTCTATAACAGCGACTTTAAATCTATGGCGATTAAAGTATTAAAAACAAAGTTCTTTCTAGTTTATTCATATAATACTTGGAGTATTTTAAAAGGTTCTTACCGTGAGCCAATTGATTCGGCGTAGTTACCGGAAAAAATTGATTTGCATCATTTGTATAATGATGGGGACTAGGCGTTACTATATTATTGTAGTCCGGAGCGGAGACCATCGCTAAGTAATCTTGTTGTCCATCTACTTTTATATTTAAGTCAGTATACGCTGCGTTCAGATCAACGTAATGCTGAAATTAAATTAATACATCATTAATATTTTCACCACCACAAGGCGTATAAACAGACACAGGTGCGAAAATTGCTTGTATTCAATTGCAAATGGTGTAAAATATATAAGTTAATACATTAAAAATAAGATATATACTTCACTTTTTAAATCGTATTAAACGCTTTACTTAAATGTTATATTAATTTAGCAATTTAGTTACAACATAAACTATACACGAAACAATTACATTTTAAATTTTTTTTTTAAATTAACGAACATGATAGTGTGTACAAATTTAACAAATATTAAAGATTGAAAAAGTATATAGCTCAACTCCCTGTAAGTTACACTTACATTTCTAACGTTATCTTCAAGGAAAGTTCCTAACATTTGCTGCAGCTCGGAAAAGGAAGGTCGCGCTGTAGGTTTCTGCTCCCAACACTTCAGCATCACATCATAAAGTCTGTCGTCTGCGTAAGCAGGTTTTTCCAAACGATGGCTGCAAACGTTAAGGGAATACAAATTACATATTTATCAATTATAATCTTTCTAATTGCATTGCATTTTCGTGACAAACAATTTCGTGACAATACAATAGGAATGATGCAACTGATGGCGGTTAAAAACTAAGCACTTGCAACTTTTACGTTAACGCATAAATTCTCGATATTAAAAAAAAATAGTTAGAATTGAATTGTAAATTAAATGAACTACTTCTTATCCTAGCGTACCCAAATTTGATTCCAATAATACGTGTAAAAACAAAGCATTATTGAATTACCCCTCTGAGAGCCACTTTAGCAAGTTTGTCGGGCTGATGTTTGGATAAGGTGTCTGAGCGAGAGAAAACAGCTCCCATAATACGATTCCAAAGGACCAAATGTCTGATTGCGTTGAGAATATTCGGTCCATCATACATTCTATTGCCAGCCACTTCACCGGCAACGGACTCTGAAAAGGGGAAAAGGTTAGAAAAAAAAGTTCAAAACGAACGTAACTAAAGATTTGTCCAAGATTAAAATAAAATAATAACGATTGTAAAAAGCGCCATCTAGTTTGAATGCTAAGACTTATCGTTCACGCAAACTAAACTGTGAACTACGAAAGTAGTTTGAACGAATAACAGATGGAAATTACTAAAAATGTATACTTACATTTTCCTTCTTCTGATATTCGTCGTTTTTGTAAATGCTTCGCGCTAGACCAAAGTCACAAATTTTTACAACATTGTCTTCGGCCAGTAAAACATTTCTTGCTGCTAAGTCACCGTGTAAAACCTGAAATCCAAAAAAATACGTTTAATGGAAAGTAGCACAACACTATAATAAGAATTAAAATAGTATTACAAAATAAGAATACGTATGTCGAGCCAAATATGCTTCAAGCAAGGCTATATTTCCGCTATGTTATCCGTTTTCAATAAACATACTAATATATAATGCATTAAAAGTATTTTAAAAAATGATTACCTTTCTACTAGCAAGGTATTCCATTCCTCTCGCAATTTGGAAAGCCCAGGCGAGAAGGTCCCGTGAGGTAAGTGGTCGTGGTTTTCGACCTTCATACAGGGAATCACATTCGTAATTTGACCTCCACTCTGGCTGCACGTATCCAGTTTCTGAAACTAAAAAAGAGGATTTTGTACCGCGCGCAAAACACGCCATAATACATAAAATATTACAAGTAATAAAATACAATGTATTTTTAATATGGCCCAATGACCATTTAAAAATACAATGTATTTTTAAATGGTCTCGGATGTTGCAGCAGCCGTGGTCACGGGGAGTTCAATGACCGATGAACGCGCTTCTAGATACATAACAATGTATACAACGTAGATAGATAGACATATATATACATTTTAAGAGACATACTATACGATTTATATATATAATTTACATGCATGAAATATATTTGCGAATGCTTTAGATACAACAGGAGGAGATATATTTTCAATCAGCCACAGTCACTGTCAAGTCATATCAATAACTAGCATAAAAAATAACCTTGATTAGTGCAAAGGACACAAAAATGTGTTCACCTGTGCCCAACAGGAAAAAACGGGGTTTCACCTATTTCGCGACAGACTTCGTGTTATAACTAATAATAATATATAAGTTAATAGTAACAAACAGTTAAATGAAAACGATTTTACCTTTCAAAAATTCCACTTGTGGATTTGGATTTGCGTTGTCTAATTGAAAACGTTAGCAATTAATTTATATGACTCAGTTCGTAATAATAAATTTGACTGATATTAAGAAAAAGTTTGTTAAGTACCTTTTCGCCCCGATCTATTCGTATTTGTCGAGTTGAGACTTGTACGTTCCGTCGCCTGAGTTTGATTAGATCCGTAGTAGTCGGAATGCATGCTGCAAAACGGAAACAATTTACTTTAAAATAGTTAATAGAACCATATAATTTGCGAAATCTATACTAATATTATAAAGCTGAAGAGATTTTTTGTTTGTTTGAACGTGCTAATCTGATGAACGAACGGTTCGAATGGAAAAAATATTTTTGAGTTGGTTTAGACTAATAGGAGTGAAGAGTGAAACGTGTGGTAAATACGGAAAACATCTTTCATCTTTGAGGGTTTATGTTGCGTGCGCTGCGAAAACGGTTCAGATTAAAACGATACCCAAAAATATGTATAATAGAACCACTCTTTTTTTAATAATCTAAATAATATCACAACAGTATATGCCTGTCTTTTAAAATTAACCCACACATAATAATAAAGAAAGTAATTTATTTTAAATTTAGAATTAATCCTAAATATTATATGAAAGTTTACCCGCTACTGGGGATGCTGTAGGAAAACGCTTTGTTGACTTTTCCGAGATTCTTCTCTTTATCATCCGTTAGTTGATCAATAAAGACCTCCCGATGACGTATTAAATAATTGTGAATGTTACCGAACTTACAGTACTCAACAATTACTATTAATTCCCCTGAAATCAGAAAGAATACCTTTCGTTATTGGAAGCATATTTATAGTTGGCACAAAGTAAATATAGCTTTATAAGTATATTTTGGTAGTGTAAACAAAAACCATTAATCATTTTTAATTTGGTAAGGTGAATAAAAGTCAAAATAAAAATGCTTCCAAATTGACATTTAGAGCAGATTCTCAAATAAAAAACGCACGAGAACTATAAAGGCTACAAAAAACGGTACTTCAATAAAACTCACTTTTATAAATTAATAATCGATTATAAATTAAGAAAAAAAATTACGACTCGGACAGGACTTGAACGCGCATCCACAGCGTTTCGTGCTGTTGCTATGGAGTCTTAAAATAGACTTAAAGCCATCATGTGCAATAACATGTAAAAAATATTAAAGTATTCAAACTCACTCTTTCCAGCGTTTTTCGTGCAAGCACCCAACAAGTTGACGATGTTAATATGTTTTCCCAAGTGCACCATGATCTTTAGTTCAGAAGCTAATGCTTTTATGTACATATTGTCGGCGGTCTTCTTCACCATTTTCACAGCGACTGTAGTTGATTCTTCTGCGTTGACTATTCCTCTAGCATCAGCTTTATATACAACTCCGAAAGCTCCTGCTCCAAGCTGCTTGCCTGTAGGGATTATTGTTATTTCTATTTAGGGTTCCGTATATCAAAGATAGGTGACGAACTATTTACTAGAGCTGAGTGTGTTTGTCTTTTACCTAATATAGGTGATAGTCAAATAATTGAAAATTTTACCATTTTTCAGTCATGTCAAGGAATTCACCAATAAATAATTCACACTTCATATGGGACACTAAATTTGACACACTTTCACACATTTAAACTAAACGCTTTTATCAGTTTTTCAACGCGAGCCGTGGTTACGGGAATGCTGCAAAGCAATTGTAAATAGACAAAATACATTTCGCGCTTAAAACCGTTAAAAGTGTTTTATTAAAGAAATTATTTAGTAAAGAAAAAATGGATTTTTATGGTTTATGTTCAAGAACCTCTTTGACCGAGTTTGTTTCGATATTTGGATTGTAAGAAAAAACCTTTTTCGCATTATAGATGAAGATAATGCGAAAAAAAGTTTTTTCTTAAATTTATTAAAGATAGCCGATATGCCTTACCAATTTTAAGCTTCTCCGCTGGGAATTCAAATTTTTCATCATACGGCAGTAATTCAGCTTGTTCGTCTATTCCAAGGTCTGGATTGATAGATTTCGGTACACCTTCCTTGAAGTACAGCAACCCAGCTGCTGCTAGCTCTCTCTTGAACTGCTTCATCTTACGTATTCTCCACACCAAGTAGGCTACTAAGATAATAAGGAGAAATACCACAACTCCCACACCGCTTAACAAGCCTTTGTAAGTCGGTGTTTCTGAAATAGATAATTATAATAAGAACGACATATTCTTTCAAATAATAATACATATAATATAATTTTTGTGGAAATAAGTATAATCCTTTTTTTATATTTGTTACGATTTTCGAGTTCGTTTTGATTGGTGTAATAGTAGTAATGTATAGCTAAAAATCAACGAGTCGTGGATTCGATCCCCACCTGTATCAACGTTTTTCTAATCAATTTATATTCATTCTGAAACACGTTGGACTTTGTAGAAATCTGAATATTAAAAGGGTGGTTGAAATATTGAAATTCCGTCCGGGTCGGAAAAATGTGGATTTCCGAATATCCAAAGCCAAAATAAGTCGACAGCGCATCGTGTTTAGACGTCATAAGTTAGGGTATTTTACCATCAAGTGACCTTTATGCTTGTCTGTCCTCCTCTATCATACAAACTATATTTATTGATCGAACCTATATCAGAATTTCCAATAAATAAAAACAGACCCACCTTTTATAAATAAGTTGTAATATTTGCTTATTTTTTCATCACCACTGATAACAATGCATTCATATTTTCCCGCGTTATCTTGCATCATTCTTTTAATATCGACTGTCGAGTTTAAAGTTGTAAAACTTAAGCTGATTGGTAAGATGGCCACATTTGTGTCATTTTCTACCGGCATCCCGTCCTATAAAAGATATGATGCAGCAAGTATTAGCATACGCAGGTTGTCTGCCAATGGAAATTAACTTTATTTGTCGAAAGGGGAACGATATAAAAATAACACTAAAATTTACAATAACTATGGTTGCAAGCATCCAAGACGTGGATGGGTGTTACTCTCATACTCAAATATAAGTCACACTTCATCTCGTTTAATAATGGTTTATTTATATCTTAATACAACTTTCTCGTACCTTATACCAGACGATTTTGGGCGGAGGCACCGCGTCAGCCTGACAGGTTAGTTGCACTGGTTGGTAAGGATTAACTTCAACTTGCTTTTCACTTACTTCCGGAAACAGTATTTCCGGTAATCGTTGTTCTATGGAAATAAGGAAAATGTTAATAAATAGTGCAGAGTACTCTTATGCAAATTTAAACAAGGATTCCCTCCGTGGTCCAATGGTTAAATTCCTTGACTAGCTATGATCGTGAGTCGAATCGGTCCGAGTAAAATTAATGATATAATTTCGTCAGACACGGCAGAAAAGTCTGTTCAAATATTTTGTTCAGTGGACATATATAATAATTTTGTCACAGACACAAATTTGTCTGCCGGCGATAAATGGTTAAACGTGTTGCCAGTATTGCGTTAAATCATTTGGGTTTTGAGTTTTATTCTGGGATAACGATGAATTTATTTCGCTCGCGCACAGAAAAAAAAAGTTAAAGAAAACAATCAGTGAAACTGACATAGATTGCTTAGTGTTTGCTGCGGGCTCAGAAGTTGAAGACAAAAGGTTTCAATAGATGCACAAATAAGTATCCAGTTTTTGTAAGTAAAAATTAAACATTACCAATTACAGACACAGGTATCATATAAGTTTCCTCTGTGTCGTCCATCCTAAATCCAACGCATGTGTAATTCCCAGCATCGTTCAGAGATATTTTATCAAATATCAACTGGGAGACTAATGAAAATTTTGTGTGTATTAAATTTGCTGCAACATATCAAATCATTTGGTTATATTCAAAAGGGCTAGATGAATAAATTATAGATCGTTATTGAAATATATCTTAAAATATTAGTAAAATCAACAAAACCACAAATGCTAGTTAAATAGGAATAAAAATGTTTCTTATTTGGACAGCAGAATATAAAACAGAAAATCGTGTAAAATATTGTCTATAGTTTACATGAGTGGTGAAACACATTTCAATAATACATTTAATAGATTTTGAAGACTCACCGTCATCCAACCATTCGCCTTCCGCTGTAATCCAAGTGACATTATAGAAGTCATACTTAGACGCATAGCATTGCAACACAACTCTCTGATTCTCCGAGAACCTCCCGTTTTCGCTGTCTTTTACGCCAAATCCACCTGGGATATCGTATGCCAGAAACCTTCTAGATTCAGATACGTGGCCCATGCTGTTCGTGGCGTGGCACGTTACGTTACCAGACGTGCGAACTGGTATTTGTAGTCTGGATGTTGTTTTTATTATTGATTCGGATATCATCTGGGCCTAGAAGAATAATTATAGATTTTAAAGAGACCGCTTCACTATGCAACAAGTGATGAAATCCCGGAAAATCGTAATTAAAAAGCAAAAGAATCTACTTTTGTACTTGCATCTTTTTTATTTACTTATATTTTTTCAAAATCAACATTTGTTGTGATTTATTTGAAACATGAGTCATTGATCGTGTAGTCAATTTTCTGGGTTTAAAACGCCATTTCCGAAAAGGAAAAATGGTTTTACACATTATTTGTCGTGTATCTTTTGGGGTAGACTAGATTATCTAAGATCTCAGTAAAATACCTTTAGTGCTTTCTCCTGACCAATTTCGTTAGTGAATACCCAATCTATAGTCGGTTGAGGGTAACCGATAGCCTGACATTCCAACGTCGCGACTTGGTCAATCAAGTACTTTTTGTCCACGTTTCGTCCAAAATGTATCGTTGGCAAAGCTGTAATTATGAGAATAATGTTATAATGGAGATATTACAAAAAATCTTAATAATATATATAGGGGGGTAGGTATATATTTTTTTAAACCAAGTGTAATTTAACAAAATTAAACTACACACTTTTAAGCCGGGTTTACATTATTTCAATAGTAATACAGCACTCGATCGTCTCTGGACTGTATGTAAGCCGACCGTTATCATTGTAGCCTGTGAGGTCATTCGTCACTTGTTCTATATATCTATTATTTACATATTAAATAAACTATCATAGAAGTTCACTAACTTCTATGATAGTTTATTGTCTGCCGCTATGATCTAGTGAGATAGAAGGCGAAATGCCATGCGCTGTCGGCACATGCAAATCTATAGATTGAAGTCGAAACGAGGATCAACAGTCCACGGCTTATTCATCTGTGGACAAAATTCTATAAACAAATACGTACCTTTCGGTCGCAGGTCGTACGTTACATTCTTTATAACATAATCGTTCTGGGCGACAATAGTGTAATTTCCTGTATCGTTAATATTTAGGTCGTAAATGGAAAAGTCAACGCTGCCTCGGTTGATGCTCAAATAATACTTTGTGGTGTCGGTTGGCAATTCGACACCATCGCGAATTCTGTAAAGTACCCATCACGTTATTTTGTTTTCAATGTAATTTAATTTACTTGTCAAACTATGTAAGCTTTAATGCACATTGACATGTGCAAATGAACATCCAACTACCTCAATTTAATAAAAAAAATGTACTCACACAGCAAAATCAGCTGGTGGATAATCTGTGACTTTCACGTGTAGCTTTATCATACCCTGCCATGTTTCTAATGGATTCACGGGGTTTCCTTTTGTAAGATTTATAAAACCTTCTGTGCCTGAAACATGAAATTCCACAGATTGAACAATCTTTCTTTCAACTATGATGGAATCTGTGGTTGACACAACAAATACCTTATTTTATCTATGACTTGACGTTAGAAAGCATTTTTATAACGCGTATAACTTAATTGTGTACTGTTGGTTACTGTTTACGGTAAATCAATATACAGTAATCGATTATTAATAATTCTCGTTACCAATTACCAAATAATCAAATTCTAATATCGACCCACATTTATAGATTCTATATATCACGGCTTACGCATTAACTAGAGGATTTGATATGACTTGTCAGTCAATGCCTTGCCTGATAAATGTAATATGTACTTATACATCATTAAAAAACGCATGTTAAAATTAATAGTTCTGCTTTCTGTTTTTTTTTTATATTAGAGGAGGACAGGTAAGCACGGCGTTCACTTAATGGAAGGTAAAATACACCAGCCATATAATATCACAACAAGATGCGATGTCGACTTATTTTAGCATTGGGTATTCGTAGATCCAGAGGCTGAAACCGAAACGCGCTTAAACTGCACGGTTTTTTATCTGTGAACGGCCGGACGAAATTTTTGACATTCCTTTCATCCATTTGATATCCAGATTTTTAGACAAAGTTCAGAAAAATTACAAATTATAAAAACATGTTGAATGAGTTTAATCGCCTCTGTAGCGCAATCTAAATTAAACATATTGCGTCATTTGTCCTGGGCATAAATACTAAAGAAACATACTAGTTATATACAGTCTGTGCGGACACAATCTGACCTCATAGTAGCATGTAAATAAACATGATCAGTAAATTGGTTGATCATCATTCGACTTGCAACTGCGTCATGCCCCATACTCCATTGAGGGTAAGCGGGTCTTCACACAACAAATTATTCAATACCTTTATATATTTTCCTAAAAACCTTCTCGCGCTCTCCGTTCCTATTTATCGATACACATATATAGCTTCCAGCGTTTTCCTCAGTCGCATTCACAATGGTAATATTGTTATACAAAAATCCTCCTGTTATTTCTCGTTCATTCGTTTCATTTATAACATTCTGTAAAATTAATATTCATGGTCACAAACGTGCTTAACAGCATTTAGCCAATTATGCCTTCATAATAATATGTATCTAAACCTAAGTATAAAAATAGAATAATATATTATTTACAATAAAATCGAAATAAAATAAACTGTTTACAGAAAATATGTGCAAGTAAATTGGCCGCCTCTGAAGCAAAATAGCATTGCGTTAAGCGCGAGAAGTCCCGGGATAGATTGTTTCGGTCGCTTAGGGCACAGAACTCTGATCAACTACTTGCCTGTCAATCGGTGAAATTAAAAATGTGTTTCTGGGAAGTGTGTTCGCCCCCATGCCCCATGGGATTTCATTTATAATATAAATATTTGTATATATGGTGGCGAAATATTATATATAAACACAAAAATATTTGTAGGCTTGATGACGTATAATAAGTCAAATGAAATGAACAGTATTGCGTTGGAGCACGAAAGTGTCAGAATTTTCGGGAAGAAACTTTTTTCCGACTGCTACAAAAGGCTGATCAACAAGAACAATCACCATAATAAACCGTAACACCGCATACAAACTCTATAAGTCAGGAAGCTAATATGCAAGGGTTTATTTAAGTTGTTTTATTTACAACGAATTACACATCGAATCATTTAACAAAAACTATATCTTATAAAAACAGTGAATAAATTTGTTATTTTTACACGTCGTGTTACTATCTAGTGTTTAAAAAATTTATAAGATTATTTCTTAAAAAAAAAAGGTTTTTCAAAATTTTACATGATAAAATAAAGCACTTACATCTGTAAAGCCTTTCGGTGTATCCCATTTGAGAACAACAGCAGTGTTGGCCTGATAAGTGACTGTACAGTTTAGAGAAAAAGTTTCACCTTTCAGGAAAAACGCGGAGTCTCCTGTTATACTCGGTGTAGGAGGTTGAACGTCGTTATCTACAATCAAATTTAATCATGAAACTGGTTATACGAAACTAGTTTAAGTTAGAGATATTCTACAGATTTGAAATAATTTATATAATTTCAAATCTGTGGAATATAGAAATCAGTCTATGGAAGGTGATATAATAAATTCTATTATAAAACATAAATATCTTTTGCAATAAGTAAAATAACATAGCGCACGTTTAGACACACTATGTGACTCTAAACAACAGGAAAATGTAACAATAATTGTTCGTTATATACACCATAAATATACGAAAATTGTATGCTCATGAAACATAATAAAGACATTTTAGATATCTATTACATATGGCAGTCTAGGTGTCTTATATATTGATATAACATCTTGTTTATATTCTAAGTTTAAGTAATATTTAAATCTGATGCATAACTAACATTCCATTACCAACACAAACAATGTTTTTGTGAATGAAATTACTTGAATAAACAAAATCTGAGAATAAAGTGATAATATGTGGTTAAATATTGATATATAACTCTAAATCGTACATATTCAAACCATAACAAATAATAGTAAAATAATAACAAAAAATAAAGTATTAAGTACATATAAAAATGTTAGTATATTAGTCGTTAAATTACAAAGTACAAAGCACAAAAATGATGACGCAGAGCAACACACCAAAAACAGAAGAAGAAAGATAAAGGTAAGCGGAAAGCTTTACAAACCAAAAACTAAATGACGAAATAAGTCAATACCCAGTGAAACCAACAATCCACGCTACCTCAACACATCCAGATTCCAGCACGATCTACTTACTAGTGAGGATAAACTTCCAAAATGTTTGTTTGTCGCGCTGTCCAATGCATTTATAACTGGGCTCTTTGATTTTCATTAAAAATCCAATCTTTGGGGAATACTTATAGTAATCTGGCGTCTTGTTACTCTGCAGCTATTTTCGTATCACCACATTATAAATCTTTTTTGTTAGTACAATACGTATTATAAAGCTAATAATTACGTTTCTCAATTATTATCGTGATATCCAAGTAGTAAAAGAATTCGTTTGATTTATTTTGTTGAACAATTCATTGAAAAACATAACGCTACATTCACCACAACTTTACTGGTTTAAAGTTATCTCACTTATCAAAACCTAAGAAGTAGTTTGTAATGAGTATTTTAATAGACTCAAAAACTAAATATATCATCGTAAGGCAGAGATGTTTTTCTGGGACAAAATTTTTATTATAAACTTGTGGTGCATGCTATAGTCAAGTTATAATATTAAACACTGAATCTAAACACCTACGTTTATTTACAAAAACATCTTTACTCCAAATTTTGTCTCGTCTCGTAAAAACACAAGTGAGTATTGTTATCTGATTATCCAAGAGATCACTATCGATGCTGAACCCAATTTTTGGGTTATAGCTATATTCATTTTCTGCAAAGTCCTGAATATTAAGAATTTTGTTATCAATTCGGTTCAAGCAAAAAATATTCAGATAATGGAACAACATGCCTTGGTAGACCTAAGTTCAGACGGACATAGCAGAAGCGTTAGTATCAATAAAGAAGACAGCGAGTATTCCGTCAAACAAACAACAATTGATGAAAATGTTTCACTGCCTTATTTATAAATTGATTTTAGTAGTCACATTATCTACTAATACAAGATGTTAGTTGACATGCAAGTTTACAAGCAAGCTAGTCAGTATCTATTTGATCATTATTTTATTTTTTTAATTTAACTAAGCAACTCTATAGTAATAGTATACGACTGAGTCATTCAACACAATACACCGTAGCATTCTATCATACATACCCCCATCAACGTAACAATAACATCGGGTGTGGTAGGTTTGCATTCAATTACAACTTTTGAGTTGCCTCTAGACAGTACAATCTCCCTCATTGGTGCGAATATATTATTTGTCCCTAAAATATATTCAAAAATATTTATAGATACAATTTTTTAGGGAATCTAGACTAAATAATGCTTAAAAACCTCACCATCCACGTAAATATATATGTATGATGCGTGTTCGGTGTTGCTAGGTTCTTCTCTTAAGTTTGTTAGAACGTCAGTCGCGTTAAGAGTGTCATCGAAACAGGCATAGTAACCTACTGCTAACTGATCCACATTTATCAGGTCTAAAGCAGTCTCATACTTATATTTTGAGTCAGAGCGCGTTTCGTTTCTCAGGACCATACTAAAAGTTTCAACTACTTCCTCAGGTATTTCCTGTTGTTTAATTTGGACCGGGCGGTTAGATCTACATAGTATAGTGAAATTTTGTCCTTTTTGTAAGGTTATTTCATTTTCTGAGGGGATTATGACAGGGCCATTCAATTCTTGAGCATCTGAAAACCAGAATTGGAATTGAAACTCGTATTTTAATGATATTCAAAAAGCTACCAGTTACAAAATAGTGTCCTGTCGATAAAATATCTTGATCACCTTCAATTTCATTAAATCGATCATTTCTGTACGTGTACTCGTCCATTAAGCTACCGCGCCTAAGTTTAACATAATGAAAGAAAATTAACCTTTCATGGAAACTTCCTTTAACTAATTTGTCAACATACGTGTAATGTCACCGATCAAGTAGTTAATCATGTCGGGAAGACAAACATCGGTGGCCTTCAGAGGGTTAATTTTGTGTTGATAAAAGGGATCAAGCTGGCGTATGAGCTTGTCATACTAATGGCAGATGTAACAAGACAATTGGATCGTGTAACTATCGAATTTACTTTTAATTTGTTTGTGATCGGGGTGTGACACAGGCGTGGTCAACTTTCGGGAAATTAATCCTACCAGTTAGATAGCAAATGATGCATGTTTCAATTGACCTAACAAACGCAGAAAATTTAGTCAATTAATTGATTAGGATCCCGTTGTTTTGTATCAATTAGTGATTGGCTTGATTAAATTACCCACAATAAGGCTCGTCTTTGTGTAGAGGATAACAGCACATAAGCAACACATTTAAACTACACATACAGTATTCATTTTAATGTAGAAATCATTTTAACAGCAATTAAAATAATGTTTAGACTCATGTAAAACAAACGCTACCGGAAGTCAAAGTTATCAGTATGCATCCTGTTGTTTTTACAACGAAATTCAAATACTTTTAGATACAATTTATTCAATTAATGCTATAATTTGACATAACAACAGCGTACGGCAGCGTAATAAACTTTATTTTTGGTTTTCTTGGCTACAATCGGAAAGTTTTCGTAATATTCATTTACAACACAACAAGAAAAAAAATAAGTAAATTTATTTATATTAATATAGAAATTTTATATCTCAAGAGTCAAATCTATTTATTCAAATGATTCCAAGGCTGACCGATGACTACCTAAGAATTCAAAAAATAAGAAAAACAAAAGATTGCTTTTCCTTTTGTTTTTTATTAATCTTATATATTAGAATACAACAAAAATACTCAGTTGCACATTCTGCATTCAATTCAACTTGTATACACCTATAATTTCAAATTGGGACCTGTGTTTTAGTATAATAATAATAATTACAATCTGTGTAACGTACCTAATATTGCGATAAATTTAGCAAAAGCATCGTAATTGTAAAACTATTGTACGAAAATGACCTTGTAGAAGACGTTGCTTTGACGCCATTTTGCTTTGAAAACAAAACCGGCGTTGTACTATTTATAGTCATTATGGATATTCATATATTATATCTCTATATTAACGAGCTGATTCCGAAAGCGGGCAGATTATTTTAAACGATCTATGATAAATGCAAGAAAAATAATTAAACGTTTTTCAAAACGAGGGCAACTAAATAATTAAATAAAATATGCTTATCAACAAACCTAAAATATATAAAACAAATCATTACATAAACTATTTTGGTATTTTGGAGTTTTTTTGGTACTTTTAATTTCCGTCATAATAAAGATGAAATATATTTTTTTTGCAATAAATTATTTTTGTGAAAAGAATCCGCTTTTTTTTAACTACTAAAAACGATTGTTTCACACTATTGTCGATTATTCACACGTTTTTAGTGCTGTAGCTGTCTGTATGTGAATCTTCTGTTTGAAGTCATGTTTAATACCCCATACAAACTTATTGTGTATTTTTATTTATTGTTCTTCTTTATCCTAAGAATTGATTACTATCAAATTATGTTGCAAAACTTATGTATGTTAACCAATCAACCCATACATATAATACTTATAGTATTTCTCATGTTTTACTTGTAATAATGAATCAGAGATCAGACAGAACTACCGTAAAATTTGTGACGCATCGCTGAGTCATGTCATCTCAAGACGTACCTAAGTTGTCTGAAGCACAGCATACGGTTCTAAAAGCTACCTTAATATCCTCTGAGATACATGAGTCATTTACTATTTCATCGTTATTCATTTATTCATCCAACAACTCCACATACGAATTTTGTGAATTCCTTTTAGTTCTATATTGAGACATTTTTTTTTATGATCGAACAGACAGACAGAACAGACAAGCTAGGCTTCACTTGATGGTAGATCAATACCCCAGCCGATAGCATCTAAACAAGATGCGCTGTCGGCCTATTTTGGCTTTGCACATCGGACTGAAGCCGAAACGTGATTAAACTTCGCGGCTTTTTCACCTGTGGACGGTGATTCTTGACCCGGAAAGAATTTCGATATTCTTACAACCCATATTCTGTAAACCAACAAGTTTCAGGAAATTATGAATTAATTAGAAAGATGGACACGGTGGGGATCGAATGAACGACCCGTTGATTATTGAGTGTATATTGTGACCATTATACCAACGAGCCCGTCAGAAGCATTTATGAAACCGCCTGACCGAAACTATGTTACCTGAAGTTCGAATAAAGGACCTGTGCTTTAGAACAGAAAAATTACGATTCCGAGAGTAAATCCAGTTAAGGCTAATAGTTTACGAAATACTATACTGTAGATCTTAATGCTCATTTTCACTTTATGAAAGTGTCTGAAAATTGATAAAATGTTTAAAAATAATTCATAGTTGTTTAAAACAGATATTGAAAGACTGACAACATAGATAAACAGATAAGATAAGACACAGATGACATTTTAAACCTACGATAACATATCTTCAAATCTATTACACAACAAATAGAATTATATGTAAACTATTTTAATCAATTATGTATAGAAATCATATTTTCAAATGTAAGGAAAATTTTTATCAAAAAAAACTCTTTCGGATCATAATCGTTTCATTATCTATCTACTACCCTTTATTGGTCGATGACAGAATTGTACTTTAAAAAACAATAACTATATAATCCCTAGTTAAAGAAAACATTTTTAACTGTTTAAAACGTGAAATTTTCTTAATATACCGTGACGTTTTGGAAGCTTTCCAGCAGCCGTGGTCACGGGGGGGACTGAAGACGGAGGGTGTCCCTATTGTCAAAGACAATTCTGCTACACCGTTAAACTAAACTCGTGTTGTAAACCTTTAAATGTTTTTTTTTATTTATTTAAATGTGTACTACTCGCGTTATATACAGACAAAAAACAATTCTTCGTTTTATTATATCCTTAGTTAATTTGTGTATCTGTGGTAAACAAATTAGGGTGTAAAGTGGTTTTAAAACAATATTATTGACTGACTGCGACAGCTTAAGCAGACGTAACGAAGTAACCTAGATTAGTGTGTATATCTTTGGTTCAAGTGCTAAAAAGCTAGACCTATAAGTTTGAAGCTCCATCTCCTGGTGTTATAACTTTTACAAGCAAAGCGAAATTGTTATTTACTGTGCAAAACTTACATATTAAAATCAACCGGTGCATACCTAGTATAGTATAGTAGTAAATGATTGATATAAAAAACACGGTAACCAGCATTGTATTTCAATACGTTTGCAGTGTCTTCTATTTAGTTTTTTATGTCATTTAGTTAGTTAGTTAGTCTTATTTGTAGCATACGTTTTTGATTGATCATTATATTGCTTTTTATATTACAAGGAAAACTTTTTCCTATTGTTGACTTTGTAGTCTGTGCTATTTAAACAGTACTTAGTATTTAAATATAAAACTTAATAACAGCTATAGTAGCCGTTGCACAGCATCCACAACCTTTCTTAATTTGTTCTGTGTTTGAAACTGTTTTTTTTATGTATACCTATCCACTGTTTGTATTAACCACATTAAACGATTAGTTTGCCACATATTACCAACGGGTGCTAATTTTTTTCAAGTTTCTTGTAAAGATTCAAATAAACATATCTCTCAAATATGATAAGAAGTATGTGCATGTCTGTGTCGATATAATATAAATTCCAATGCATTTTAGTACAGCTCTGATTGCTATTTACAAGTAAAAAATCGCACAATCATAACAATTTTTATTGTTTTTATTATTATTACTACTATTATTGTTACTTATACCGCTATATTATCATACATGAATATATTATACCAGTTCAAATGCCATACATTAAAACGAAGACCCTAAAAGTACTAACAAATTAAGACTTGAAAGGTTGTAAATCTATTCTACTAGTGTTACGAAGGAGTAAATTTGTTACACTTACATTCCCATACGGTTAAACCGAATTTTGATAAAGTTTAGAATCAATGTATCTAACGTTCATACGTTGTAACAAGCAATTATAATGTGTATGTTTACTAGCCATTTAAACTATGACAAATCTGATTCGGTGGGCATGGGTAACACAAATTTAAGGTAAGTTCCTTACACTTTTACCTTAACTTGTGTAAGGTAAAAGTGTAAGGAAATGCTACAATCTACGATGTAATTAAAAACGATATTATAAGATTTTTAGTAAATACGCGATAAAAAGAAAACTTGGCTGTAAATTTGCTTAAAACGTAAAGCAGAGAATGTTCGAAATGTGCATTTGGTGTACAATAAGTCTACATACGCCTTCCTAAAACCGTTTGAACAATACATGATGTAAACAAAATCTAAAACCAGCTTTTTCGCGTTCGTGTAGCGTTCTTGTTTTCCTCGGAAGATGTAAGGTGTTTATCAATAATGTAAGAAGGTAAAATCTTTGCAACGTCAAACAAACAAACGGAGCTCAGCAATTTAACGATTACAAAATGATAAGAACGAAGAGAGACAATGTATGGAACTGACATATTTATTGGCTCAAAGATACATCAACACATTCGAATATAATCCTTTATTTTTGTTAAACTATTTAAATAAAACACTTTGACGGTTTACACGCGAAATATATTACTTAACTTATTTACAATATGACCATCACCACACCTGCTGCGAAGTATCCGAAATATCGCGTTTTTAAAATAAATTGTAAATGGTGAACAAACATATTTTAATTTGCATTTGCGTTTAAAAGCACTGATGGTTTTATTTAAATCTGTCCTACTCGCGTAATCTTCAGCCAATGTTTGATTATTAACTGAACTTGCACATTTGTTTTTTCATAATAATACCTATATATTTATCTTGTCTACATAATTAATTAATGATTTTTGATTTGATGTCATTATTTTAATTTCGTTCCGTCAGATGCCTACGGTTTCCTTTATCACAATTGGTCGTGAAATTCGAGCCTTATAATCTTTTGCTAACGGTAAAACAATTTAAACGTAACGGGCATCTGAGAGTTCCGCATTACGCCTCTTTTACGACAATGGCAGACAGCAACCATAACAGCTAAAGAAGATACGCTATCAGCCTATTTCTGATTTGGACATTCGAAACTCACGGACTGAAACTGAAACGCGATTAAACTTCATGGAATCTCTTCTGTAGATAGAATTTCCATAGATCCACATTTCACTTAATATCTAGGATTCCCGGTCGGAGTCCAATATGTATCAGGAGTGACCATCATGTGGGTCCCGATGGGCATCGAACCCACGCCCTAAGTATTATTATTACTTGGCTATCATTAGACCTTGCCGAAATTAAAAATCTAGGTTGCTTTCCCACGATGCTTTCGTGCAAATTGATTTATTCTTTATAACTATAATTTTAATTTTTTTAAATATTACATATGTAGATTTAGGTGCCAGTGTTATTTGATGTGTAAATATTTACATTAATTATACCACTTTTCTACGTGCAATGCGCAGATACCGTGCGTGGTCTACTCGTATGGTTTGTTCTTAGCATTGAACAAGATGCGAAGGTATTATTAGTCAATATTTAGTACGCTAACCGCGAGTTATTAATAAAAGTTCGTGCTAGCTGTTTAAGGAAAAGTTAGTCCACTAGACACATATAGTGTATTCAAACCTGTATAATATGCAAAAGTTGTTAAGCACAACAACAGTAATCCGTTGAGTGACAGCCAACTCCGCGAGCTAAACATTTTAACAGCTTTTGTTCACTTCACAATCAAATTACTTAGCGTAATTCATTGCGAACTCCGTATACTTCAGTTTGGGAATAAGTCATTCTATTTTAAACATTCCACTGCGTCGAAGCGGATAGCACAGTCTCAATCACAGTTGATATTATAAACACTTCGAAACTTTGTACACTGAGTCACGAAATTAAATACGCGTTGCGATTGTTAAATATCGAATTCCGCGCTGTTTTCACATTTTGTCTTCGAGTGTCACGAACACATATGTATGCTTAAATAAGGTCACTGTTTATTGTATGTGATGGTTTCCAGCGAGACGTCGACGCGAGCAAAACACAATAATTTTGTGGCGTAGTGTCGCACGCGGCTCTAACACAAGGCAAACGCGTTCGAACTGAGTCGGTTGGGAGCGCCCGCGACCTCGCCACCGCGGTCAAACCGAGATAACACCTATAGCAGCTGCCACATGGAACCTATAGACCATGAGTACCAACCAGGTCATTCGGTTGTGTTCGGTGTTCGACTGGTTTCTTTGTCTTTTTTGGCCAGTCGTGTGTATTTGTATGTAGCTACTTGTTATATGCCGAAAAGTGCGTTCGGATCGATCTTTAAATTTGTTTTTTTATGTAAGATAGTGATTTGTAATTTGTCAATTATCCAGGTCTATGCAGATGAGTGTAATCTAGCGAATATAGTCAATAAATGTTTAGTAAAAACAAGCACAGAATACGAATACAAAGATATACTTACTAGGTTTGCAATTTTGTAAGATATATAATTAATTATTAATATTTCATTGTAACCAAAACAAATATTCGCTTTAACAAAATGCTGCTCTAAGCTAAGCTAATTAAAATGCAGGTGTTGACCTGCAATTTAATTAGCTTAGCTTGCTACCTCTATCTGACGTTCCTTTGGGACTAGTTCGGTGAAACCGTGCCGACTTCGTGCTAAGTGATATGTAGAACAAGCGAATAAACATCTGTTTATTTATTTAAACAATCAATATTAGCTTATCTAATTCAAAATTGTTGACATTCAATAGTTAGGCAAAGAATGAGTAACTGTAAACCAAATTAAAGACTCGCTATATGTCTATAAGTGAGTATTTCGTAGACATGTTACATATTAGATGTGTCAGCGACTTCGTTGGCAAAAATCGTTATTTTGCGCATCCAAATTTGTTTTTGCAACCTCCTCCCTTCTTTATACATTTTAGCCGTTACCCACAATGTCGGTCGCGTCCTGTTGTTTATGCAAGTTAATCTTAAAAATAGACATATATTGTCGCGGCTTAATTCTTTCATAAATATTTTTTTGGGTATCTAACGGTTCACCGTTTTTGCAGTGTACGCATCTGAAACCCACAGAGATGAAAAAAATCTACCGTTTTCCTCACATTTCCCACTGTGGGAAAGGCTATAATTTTCTATTAAGATAATTTGTATTTTTCCTTTTATCATTAAAAATAATATCTAAAAGGTTTAAAAATTAATATCGTCTAAGATAAAGTACTTACAGAAGGTATACAGAACTTAAGTTTAAAAGTGTTTCTTATCGTACCTAAACTTAATTAAATACAAAATCAAACAAAAAAATGCTCTCCATCAATTTTGTCTTTTGACATTTAGAGAAGAGTAGAAGAAGATATTTTATAATTCTGCCTACATATCAAGTAAATAATTGTGTTATAAGAAGGCATATGCCAAAACTAACCATCATAATCTTTATAATAGAATACGCAAGTGTAATATTTATCACATAGCTGTAACAATATGGTTGTTATCACAAATTTGATAACATTTACGGCTACGCTATTCGTATGGATTAAGCCTAAATCGAAGTTAAGTGCACTCTCTATAAATCGCCCACCGTGGATCAGTGGTTTAACGCTCGTGTTACAATACTGAGCATTCAAGGTTCGATTTTTTTTATGATAGAAAGGGACAGACAAACATGGGGTGACTTGTTGGTAGTTAAAATACACAAGCCGAATGTCATCTAAACAAGATGCACGGTCGACCTTTTTCGGCTTTGTATAGAGGGAAATCCTTAGAGTGACACCGAAACGCGACTAATCTTGGCTTTTTCATCTGTGAACGGCGCTTCGTGACCCGAACTAAATTTCGATATTCCTACACCTATTTATTATCCAGATTTCCAACATAAGAACATAACAACTCAAGAACATATAACAAAAGTCAAATGTTTCAGAAAAATTAAAAATTTGGACCTGGCGGGTTCGAACTCACGACTCGTTGATTATTCGCCATACCTTGCGCTTCACCTGTTCTGTTCTTTCGCGAGAATCATTATTTTGGGCCAAATTCGTTTTTGCAATCTTCATAAACTTAATCTGTTACCTACGATGTCGATCACGTCCCTTCCCGTCGTTCTTGCAAGTTAATCATAAAAGATAGATATATAGCGTCGCTGACTTTTTTTAGATCATTGAAAGAGGAATCATTCTTTCATACATATTTTTTGGTTGTCTTGTACCGTTTTTGCAGCGTTCTTCACTTGTATTTGTTTTTCAATTCGACCACGTAGTCCCTGAGATGACGCGTTCAAACGTACAAACAAACAAACAAACTCTTCAGCTTTGTATATTAGTATGGATACGAGTAAAACTAAAATAATAAAATACTGTCTATAGTTTACGCGAGTAGTACACATTTAAATAAAACACTTTAACGGTTTAAAACGCGATATATTAGTTAAACCACCCCCGTGACCACGGCTTAAATAAGTTTAACTAATATATCGCGTTTTAAACCGTTAAAGTGATTTATTTAACTAAAATAATAATTCAAGATTTCGAATGATGTGCTAACTTCTGTAAAATATTAATTTATTAATCATTAAATCTAAACTATTTAGAAGACTTAGTCTCGCTCTTTGTATGAAATATAAATTGATATTTATTAAATGGGTGGCAAGAAAATCGAAATTCCGTTCGAATCCCAAACCACCGTTCGAATTTTCCAATATCCAATACTAAAAAAGGTCGACAGCGCATTTTGTTGAGAAGTTTAATGGTTAGGTATTTCACCTACCATCAAATGAACCCCAGGACGATTATAGACTACCTGCCTATAATCGTCTGTTCTTACCTACAACCACGAAAATAATTTTAAGCTTATTTATCTGAGTTAAATAACAGCCTCTATTTTGCGCTATTCTAGCTTAATCTAATGGTAAAACCTCCAAAAGATCGCTATATTACTTTTTCACGCGCTTCGACTTTTGTAATTTCTATTGGTTCACGTTCGACGTGTTATCTTCTACCCATCTTATATTTATCATAACGAAGCAATTTATCAAAAGAACTCCTACGTCTCGGTAGCTCGTCTTCCTTTTTACATCATCTTATTACGCAGTACTCGCGTCTCATACATCATAATTTGACTCTTCCTGTTAACTCGTAACTGAAATTAATAATGCAGACGTTTTCGGCTTTAGCTGGTTACTACAATGGCACTGCAAGTGTCTAAATGTCTGACATATTTAACCCGATAGTAATATTATAATAAACTTTAAACTTACACACAAGACAAATCTTTTTTTTATGTTCACTATATTAACACAATTTTATTTCTTTCTAGAAATATATTATTGTTATTTTCTTTTTTATTTAGTGATTATGTTAACAATTAAAATTATAAGTGTATAATTTTGAAAACTTTATTGTTTTTTCACAACACACACTTTAGCTACTGCTGTCCTAGTTAGTTAGTGCTAGTTGTCCGTCGAGTTGGAGTTTAAAAATTAAGTAATACCTTTCGCAATTGAAGCCGTTATAGCATTATTTACCACTGGCGTAAGCCACAGACTATACTTATTGTTTACTATTATAGATATAGTCAGTCACGAACAACAAAGTATCAAGCGTTAACATCGGACAGTAGTGGCCAGCCAATAACTCACGCTTCTAGCAAATTTAATCTACTTACGTTAGACATACATTACGCCAATTAAATCAGATAATACGTATAGCTATGTAGCAATGGACATTAATTCCACAAATTGGTCTAAATGACAATTATTGTTACACCAGGGTACTGTAAACTATACAACGGCCTTGACCCATTGCGTGTCACTTGTTAAATGTCGCACTCGTTGTTACCAACGTTGTTCCATAGAAATGCCCTTAATAAAGCATATTATTTAAACCTCGACTAACTACGGTTATAAGGGTGTACTGCCGTCTCAAATTTTCGCCCTTGATTATCGATGTTCAAGATTCTATCTTGATTTTGGGCTAAGCTGCGAGGCGAAAAAGATTTATGATTTAGGGGGGAGCATATGACCAAGCATTGAGCTACTTCGATACTAAATCCTGTTTACAGCATCAAAATCTTTGTCACCGACTTTTTTATGATAGAGGAAGACAGTCTAACATAGGGCTTATGATTATTATCGGGGACACCTGTAGAAGGCCGGGTGATCAGTCCACACCATGAGCTGACTATTTCGCCCATTTCCGCAGCATAGGACTTCTTGAAACGCAGAATACCCTCGGCCTTGTAACATCCAATAAGTATTTCAATCGTCCTTTTTTTTCCTTTGATATATTTCGGTATCCTCACAACCAAAACACGGGTTTAAAATTCATGGCTTTTCAATTTTTGGATGCTCATTAAAAAAAAGAATATAAATTGTTTTAGGAACATTTGAACCACAAATGGAATCCACGACCCGTTGGTTTAGACACATTGCTATTATTGGGCTAAGACATAATTTTCAATTATGATAGGTTATTAGGTTTAACGGTATTATGAGTTAAAATAATATATATGTCTATAAATATGTAGTGTAAATTCCATTCACTGTTCTGTATTAACTTCGTCATGTACATTTTCAATTCCACAACAAATGCTAGTAATACATATACATCTCGACATAATTTAGCCTTATCAGACAATTGTAGATATCTTAAGAATACTTAAGACATGAATCGCAATCAAAATATTATTCTCAATCCGCAAAAGTGATAAGGTTACGACACTGTTATTCAATTTAACTGCACGGGCTTGGGGGTTTACGAGTGTGTTTGGCTATATTTATCCAACGACTCGTCTAAATTGAACCGAACGATTTATGACCATCAAATAACACTAACAATGAATGTAATAGTTCTGTGCCTTAGCGCGAAATAGATTCTGGCATTTCTGAAACATTCCAGTACAAGTTTTTATTACTTTACAACATTTTGAGTGTACATGATTTAAGAGCGAATATAAAAATAATTCGATGCGAAAAGTCTTTGTAGAGACTTTTCGGTTTTAAACTAAATGTATATTAGTTAATTCTTTTGACGGGTCCGTTCCTGTAGTGATAGCAACGTATCGTAGACACAATCAACACTACAACGATCGTAGGTTCGGTCAAAATTTTTCTAATCAAACTATAATTTTTCCGAAAACATGTTGGATTTCGTCTGGAAATCTGGATCTTAAATGGACGGTATGAATATTGGATTCTCGTCGCAAACCACCGTCCACAGTTGAAAGAAGTTAATTACGTTTCGGTTATTGTCTGTGGAATTTCCGAATATCCAAAGCCAACTAGGTCGATAGCCCATCTTGTTTATTTGTTAGATGGCTTGGGTATTGATGAAATAAGCGAAGCAAACCATCAAGCGAATCCCATCCTACACCTTTATAATAAAAAAATCAGTTATAGTTTCAAAAGATTCCTACAGCCAAAAAAATATTTCGTCTTTTGGCTATGATGCAGTTGTTCAAGTCACAGTCGGTGTAGTCGACGGCAACTATAAGATGACTATGTTTCAACACGAACATCGGCTATTCTACGTTTAATGAAATAATATTGTAGCAAAATTAACGTAAGTTAGGAAAAAGTAAACTTACTAACAGGAGTAAATATTTTGCTCGAAGCTAGGAGTTATGTTGTGGGGTAACGTATTACGTCAATCAGTCTGGGCCATGGGGTGTCGCCACCACTTCATTACAAACTAGATCGTTACTATTGGACGATGAATTTGCGTCAATGTAACAAACATACTTATTAGCCTAGCTATAGTTGTTTCAAACACATAAATCTATAGTAAGAGTTCATTTGTACTTAGTTCTAAATCAGTAATGTTTTGAGGCATCGAATATAAATATACTGGTTTACCGTTTCCCGTTGCCTATGTTAGGCAGGTACATTTTTGTGTCTGTTTCACTGAGTTTATATAGGCCCTATAAAACATAGCGCTGTGACTAATAGGAGCGTATTTAATAAACAGCGGTGTTTGAACGCGCAAATCTCAGGAACAACGTGTTCGAATTTTTTTTTTTTTGTTTTGGTTAAAATTTTTATAGAGGGAAGTATCGGAAGAACGCTGTGACTAATCGAAACAACGGAGAAAATTATTCATTTCTATGGGTTTCCATTGCGTACGCTGCGTTAACCCAAAACCCCAACATTGCGATAACGGTTCAAGATACCTAAAAAAAGATGTATCAAAGAATGATTCCTCTTAAATTATTTAAATTAAAAAAAGGATCTAAAAAAAGTCCGTGACACTATATGTCTATCTTTTAAGATTAACTTTCAAGAACGACGGGAAGGGAGACGACATCTTGCTTAAGTTTATAAGGATTTGCAAAATCTAATAAGGATGCCTAAAATAAATATTTTTAGCGGACGATGTCGCTGAAATAGCTAGTATAATATATAGGTATTGAACAGGTAGCACCTCGCTATAGCCGGTTTTACCGAAGTACTCAAAATTCATATTTCACTACTCTGGTCTGAAATATGCATTACGTTATAAATCTGTGCAATTCCTCTTTTATTTATTAACCATAAAAAATATATGTTATGTACAAATTGATAAATGAAATGAGCGGTAATCACCACGTAGTCGTTTCGTGATAAACATTAATGTGCCCATTATTTTGATTGTTCCTCCTTTACGTCAGAAACTCGCCTTCGTCCAATTTACGTCAGTAAATGCTTTCATGAAAATGTCTAATAAAAGCGAAAGTAAAGTAACAAAACAGGTGTTAACGATTGTTGGTGATCTGACGTGCTTCTAAGGGGGGCGATTCTCAGAAAAGGACATGCATTAACGCCGACATAAGTCGCAAATAAAAGAACGTAGGGAGAATATTTTCATAACTTCTATTGAGGATTGCCCCCCTGTTCCATTGTATGGAGCCATTTTTCAGAGCTACAATAGAATTACTGAGATTGATGATGCGTCGTTTCAAAAATTGCTTTCAATGGATCTGATATTTAGTCAATTTATAAAGTAAAGAAATTAAAAAAAGAGAAAGTAGCCTCTGTTATAAACGAACTTGAACGCCGTATTCAATTGTTTTGATATAAAACTAAAATAAATGATAAGGATCATGTAAAAACTTTCATTATTCAATTTTAAAATACCAAAGGCGATTATGCACTCTCTATAGCCGTGTTTCGTAATATTTTTATTAAATTATTTAAAAGATATTTTTTTATATCAATTAAATAATCAGATTATCTTTTACCTCTTGCATGTAATATGTTAACTCATACTTTGCTAAATTTATCCGCGTCCTCACAGATCTAAAAGTCAAAATTCGGACTTGAATTTAATTAAGCGCTGTAAAAAAACATACACTGATAAGCGCGGAAAAGAGTAAAAACAAGAAGTATTTTGACTCCGCTATCGTCGGGTAAAAATTCAGATAATAACTTATTGTATGTATTCATGGAACACTTTTATCTTGTGTGACAACGGCCGTTGCGTAGGCGCATGATACAGTTCACTGGCCACATTTTATCCCATGTAGCTACAACTTCCGTTTAGGAAAAAACTCCATGCCATTTATCATTTAAAAACATCCGCTTTAAAGTTTTTATGTTAACTGGTACAATGTGAACTTGATATTGTGCTTATCATACCTCCTTTTACATTATCTATATAATGACATTTTAAAATACATAAATATCTAATAATATCAATTGTATCCATCTTTTGCAAAATTATAATAAATAGCTCTCATCGATGGCATAAAAGTTGTTGCAACTTAGCTCTTAATAACATTTAAACAATTAAATTATAATATAACAATTTAAAAAATAAAACTGCAAAGTATAAAAACAACTTTTTATTAAACATCATTATTTTCATTAATAGGAATAATCAATTAGTATTTAAATAGCTATACATAAATTATAAGTCAGGCGTTTAGTCAATGTTTTCACTGCGTCTTTAAAGGCTGCTTTTTTAGTGTGTTACGGAATTAATTGATAATAATTAATTAGTAAGAGCATAAAATGGCAAGTAACTTAAATACGAAACTAGGAAACAATGCCTTGCGTGCAGAAACATAAAAATTATAAAGCCTACTATTCTAATGGGTTAAGACAAGTCAAACGATAGTTAACAATTATAATGGCAAGTGTTACGATTTTACTTTGCACCGACATCTCTCGAAGTTACAGCTGTTTTAGTGCGTGTAACTGTTGTTGCTGAGTTAGCTGTTCTCGCTGTAGTACCGAGTTTTTTCACAGTCGTAGTCGTAGTCATTTTTGAAATACCCCCATTAGGGAGCTCTTTTACATCTGAATCTACGTAAAATTCTTCCGTCGCTCTTTGACTGCTTTCGTTTGCTTTTGTATTTTGAACCCTTTTATCGATACTCTGCGTAAATCCTTCCTTTTGAATAATTTCGTTACTGTGCTCTTCATTGTGCATCGCGCTTCGTTCGCCATTACCAGATATTCGGATTAAGCCATTTTGAACTGGAATAACTTCACTATTGCCGTAACGTTCCGAGAAATTATTTTCATCCACTCTCTCAATCGTATAGGAACCGCGCCGCTGAGGTTGTTCGGGAATCCAAACTAGTTCTTGTGACAAAGTTTCTTGAACGGGTTCTGGTGTAGCAGTGGTACTTCTGATTTCATCCTGTGCTCTTACTTGAGTGACATGAGTGCGTAAAGATCCCATCTTCTTGTTCTTGAATATTGTTTATTAGATATTTTTCTGCCTTGTTCGTATCATTGTTAGTAACTTCTTTTTCGGTGTGAATCTTAATTTTTTTTGTCAATCAGTTCCGTGTGATTCCTTTGAGAGGCTATCGGTTTTAACTGCCCAAGCAAAGGAGAATGCTTTATTCCAAACGTTATTTGTGGAGTTCTATTTAACAGCACCTGAAATATTAAATTCTATTAATATTATTAATTTCTTGATACTTTGTTTACAATTGCTATTTTAATTATGTATTTATAATTAAATAATAGCATATCGACATGTTATATAATTAGCATTTATTATCAGTACGCAATAAAAGTATGAAATGACCTTCTCAGGTGAATATGTGCCAGGTGCTGGTACTTTTACACGATCATCTATTGGTACCTTATGCCGGCCCGAAATCGTGTATACCGGTGAATCAAGAACTGATGGAATGCGGTAAGTGTTAGGAGCTGAAGATAAAAGGGACAAAATTATTATTATTTTCGTTATATATTAAAATACAATAGTTATATGTTATAAAAAGTACCTGGCGTTTCTGCATATTTATCTGTGTGAATCTTAACACCAAATGTGTACTGCGGAGAATATGTTAGCACAAACTTAGAACTCTTTTCTGGATCGTAACTTCCAGGAGCTGGTACCTTTAAACGTTCATCGATTGGTTCCTTGTGCCTTCCTGATATTGTGTACAGAGGTGTCTTCACAGGCACTGGTAAAGTGTACGAGTTAGGTGCTACAAAATAAAATAAACTATATATTCAAATCTGTTAATTTCAAATAATATTTATATTTTTTCAATTTATGTGGTTCTTTACATTAAAATCCTACCTGGTGTATTTAAAACTTTAAGGGCGTCAGTCTTTATTCTGAAAGTGTACTGAGGGGCATTATGAAGCAATACTTTGTCAGCTTTATCTGGTTTATACGAATTAGGCGCAGGTACATTATCTGCTTTTGGAAGTTTTGTTTTAATTCTAAATGAGTATCGAGGTGCACTATCCATCAAAATTTTATCAGCTTTTTCGGGACTGTAAACATTCGGTGCTGGTACGTCACTAATTTTGTCTTCTTTGCCCTTTGGATATAAAGAATATAAGGGATTTTTCTCAAATATAATTTTATTCGCTATTTCAGGGTTATACGCATTAGGCGCAGGGGTGTTAACGATTTTTCCATTTTCTATTTTTGGTCTAAACGTATACGCTGGCCCGGTTGGATGTGTAGCTTTAGCACCTTTATCTGGGTCATAATAATTTGGAGCCGGAGTGTTAGGAATTTTTCCATCATCAATTCTCGGACTGAAAGTAAATGCTGGTGAATTCCCATGAATAACTTTATCTGCATTTTGGGGATTATAAGCATTTGGCGGTGGATAATTAGACGGCTTTGCTGATGGTGCTTTATGCCCAAAACTATATTTTGGTGCGCCATCCAGGGCTATTATATTGGGGTCATAAGTATTTGGGGCTGGCGTATCTGGTATTTTATCTGGTTTTCCTTTTCCATGAATTGTAAACTTTGGCGTATTATCTAAAAGATGAGGGTTATAAGAATTTGGAGCTGGTACATCTGAAATTTTTGAATCAGGTCCTTTTCCTGATATAGTGAATCTTGGAGTAGTATTTGATAAACGTGGATCATATGCAGCTGGTCCTGGTGTGTCCATAAGCTTTGGCGACGGTCCTTTTCCAGAAATCGTAAATTTAGGAGTGCCGTCAGATAAATGAGGATTGTATACATTAGGACCGGGTACATCAGAGGCTTTTCCATCGGGGCCTTTTCCGGAAATTGTAAATTTTGGGGTACTGCTTGGTAAAGTAGGGTCGTAGTAGTTAGGTCCTGGTGTGTCAAAAGGTTTACCTTCTCTGCCTTTTCCAGCTAATGAAAATTTAGGAGAATTACTCTGAAGATGAGGATCATATGCGTTTGGTGCTGGAACATCCGGTTGTTTACCAGATTGGCCTTTTCCGGGAATCGTGAATTTTGGAGATCCATCAAATAAACGTGGATCATACATATTAGGCGCTGGAGTGTCGTTAGATTTTTCTATAAGATTTTTAGGCCGAAATGTAAATGCAGGAGTACTTTCGTGAAGGAGTTTGTCAGCTTTATCTGGAGTATAGGCATTAGGAGCTGGTAAATTATCAATCTTAGGTGTACGTGCCTTCCCAGAAATTGTAAACTTTGGTGAGCTTTCTAGCATACGAATACATTTCTCTGGTGCATAAATATTAGGTGCCGGATTGGTACTATCTATTACAATATCATCTTTCGTGCGAAATGTATACGCCGGTGATGAGTCATGTAACAACTTGTCAGCTTTATCTAAACAGTATACATTTGGGGCTGGAGTATCAGCAATTTTTTCAGATTTACCTTTTCCACTGATAGTGAATTTAGGAGAATTGTCTAGAGAATGAATGGATTTTTCAGGTGAATAAACGTTAGGAGCTGGTGATTCACTTCTCACTATATGTTGATCTTTAATTCGAAAAGAATAGGCTGGAGTACTTTCATGCAAAACTTTGTCAGCCTTTTCAGGATTATAGCTATTAGGAGCAGGGGTTTGTTCTATTTTAGTCGTCAATCCTTTTCCAATAATACTGAATTTAGGTGTACTATGAAAAATTTGAACGGATTTTTCAGGAGAATATACATTCGGCGCTGGTGTTTGCTCGATTTTTTCGACAAATTCTTTAGGCCGCATTGTGTATGACGGAGATGATTCATGCAAAACTTTATCGGCTTTTTGAGGATTATATGAATTAGGAGCTGGCGTTTTCTCATGTTTTTCAGCAGCACCCTTGCCTGCGAGGGTGTATTTTGGTCCATTTTTAAGAGAATGAATAGACTTTTCAGGCGAATATACGTTTGGGCCAGGGGCATTAAGAGATTTTATGACCTCTGTCTTTACCCGAAAAGAAAAAGCGGGTGACTTCTCCCGTAGAAGTCTGTCGGCCTTTTCTGGATTGTAAGCGTTAGGTGCTGGCACTTGTTCGTAATTTCCGGTTTTCATCTTGCTCGATATTGTGTGCTTTGTTACTATATGCTGGTGTTCGACCTGAAACGTGTATAAATTTTTCATGTAGTTATAAAAGGAACATATTATATGAAAGGATTAAGAATTAAGATTGATATTATTCTAAGACCTTTACCTTATATACCATGTCCCGTTAAGAGTTTAGCCATATAGCCTCAAAATGAAAAAGGGTTAACAGTAAACATTCTTCAATTTAATAAGTAATAAAGTTAGCACTTATGTGAGAACGCAATAGTCTTGATGAGAAGCGTTAAGGAAATGGTGAGTTAGCTGGTGGTGATTTCTTCAGGCGCAGCGTAGTAGACAGACTGACCGGCGAATGGCGAATGCCGAATGCCGAAGGTGTGAGCTGGGGCCCAGGGCAACGTCACGCAGACCTGTTATTTGCATCCACCCTCATGTTAGTTTTATATGAATATAGATAATGGATTAACATAGTATACTTTTAAGTAATTAAGATTACACCCGATGACAAAAATGCGAATGCAATTGTCCCAACGCTGATAAGGAAGCAAGTAACGAAAGTAAATTTTCTTGCTTCAGAACGTGACACATCTGTGCACACTGAAAACTATCTAGTTTTCTGATCAAGACTTCAAGCACTTGTTAACTATATTAAGGGATTACTGTTATCGTTGTTGCGTATTTCTTTTATTGGTTACGGATATTTAAGTCGCGAAGTATAGAACGACCAGAACTGTACACTAACTTCAAGAACTGGTATTTATAATTTGGATTTATCATTCTCTTCTTCATCGGCAGTAGGACAAATGCCAAAGTTAAGGCAGATTATGAAACACATATTAAATAAAGGTGAAAAACATGTGTTAATTATTTAGTTTTACCTTTTCAGGGCAGTACACTCCAGGGCCAGGTACAGCGGCTGACGGATGTTTGACTTCCCGCCTGGGTGCCATAGTATATGCTGGTGGCCTTTTTGTAACTACAGTTGCTGCTTTGTCCATAGTATATGTCCCGGGACCAGGTAAAGGAGTTTTGGACTCCACTGCTTTCCCTCTTCCGGTGATGCTGAACGCAGGTGCTGCTCGCTTGCTGCCTTCCCTTGCCTCGCCGAGTACCGGTGGCATAGAATAAATGTTCGGAGCTGAAAAATGCATTATTAAAAATTTTAGAGTGCTCTTTACTTTTAAATGAAATACATGTATGACTTTTTGCTTCATGGTGAAAAAAAAACGAATAGAGTGAGACTTAAAAAATACATCTAGCAGTCGGTGAATGAAAACCATTAACTAAGTCTAGACTATTAATAAGTCGACTTGTAAAGTAAAAACCAACATAATATAATAACAATATTTAAGAAAAACAATAGCATTGATATAAATTAAAAATCTATATTAGAATTAACAAAATATATTACGCGGGCGGGACACAACACACGATCGCCGCGTTCCATGAAATAGCTCTACCAATTGCACTACCGAGTCATATATAGATTTTTAATTTAAATACCTGTAGAAATAGCGCAATAAAGAGTAAAAACCTAAACCCGTTGCAAAGAATAACTACGATCTATACAATATTATGGAAGCAATGTTCAAAATTATTTACATAAAACAGTTTTAACGATATAAAACCTTTAATATATAAATACTTTAAATAATTTCCAAATTTAAACCGTTAAAACTGTTTGATTTAAATGTTTTCTAATCGTGCAAACTACAGACAATACTTAATATTCAAAACAGTAAAAAGTACTTAAGTGAAATAAATAACTTTCTACAATAAGGCTCTACAAAGATCGCCAAACAGAAAGATCTAAACGAAAGTGGTAAAGGACTTAAATCTCGCTGCCAGCACCTGGAGTTCTACTTCCCGGTTGGGGCATATTGACGCGGAGACCTATTGAAAACGCTGGTGCGTGGTCTAAGACGGCTTTCGCCGCTTTACTCGGTTCGTAATCACAGGGGGCCGGAGTGGGTGCCACTTTCGGCGGCGGCCACCGTCCGTGCAAGGAGGCAGCGGGGCCAACTGCCCGTCCTAACAGTTAGGCAACATCAGAAAGATATAAATAATACTTTTTTTGATAAATCATATAATACTAATAGTTTCTAACACAGTCCAGAAAACCTCCTAAGAGACGATTTTTTTTACTGTTTTGTAAAGACTTTTGAAAACTTTAATATTTAAATATAAGTATATAATTGAAAAAATATACGATACGTATTATCGTATATTTTTAATCTATATAGTCTTTTGTTTTTTTCTACGGAGTAATAATTTCACATAATTTTTGTACATTACTCAGTATTGTTACCAATCCCTTGCATGGGACAAGCACAACTATGCGTATATGTATTTCTATCTAGTAAGGTCTTCACTTCATAAATTGCTATTTTTTATTGTTATTAAGGTATATATAACTGATAAACTAAACTTTTTCATAAAGAGTAACATTAAAGTATATTTAGAAAACTAATGTCGGTAGCTCCACAACAACATAAAAATGTATAATTAAACTCGGAATACTTAATCCCTTCTGATAAAACGTAGCACAGCTTTAAATAAATAAATAGATTAACGCTACCTTTATTTCAATCGTCGCGGTATGAATATTCACAAACAAACACAAAACATTTTTAGTAAATAAAAACAGCTCGTTTGCACATGACGTACTGCTCAAAGCCTCGTAGATAGATCACTGAGGCTTGTACTCCTGTGTATCGAGACGGAGAGACCGTTCAGGGTTCTTCTCACCTACACAACCGCAACTGACTCACCGCGTCACCTTCAGTTATGCGGACTTATTTGGCGACAACGGATGAATGCAACTATAACAGCTTCAGAACAATTCAATGTCGACTCAACCCGGTTGAAATAAAGTTCAATGTAACTTCCATTCACAGAACTCGACGAAAGCTTACCATATTCGAGTTATGCCAATTTGTTCCTATTTAATATTTTATGGTTGAAGGAAGTAAAGTGTAGACGTTTATGTTAATGAGGTTGCAACCGCAAAGTCTAAGTGTAATTAAGGACACGTTCGTCTATTATAATTATACATATTGCAGTTATAGTTGAGGAAAGAATACTATTGGTGTATAGTGGTGAAAATTACCTTTCGCTGTCATTCCCTCGGTGTTGTAAGTAGCGGGCCCTGGGCCGGTCTTTTCCTTTCCAGCTGGGTCCAACTTCTGGCCAAACGTGAAAGCTGGTGCTCTTGATTTGCGTGACTCGGGAGGAGGTTTGCCTAAGAAACGAAAGTAACGTTAAATTTGTAGTCTATGTAACTGGTAAAGGTTTGGTGTTCCCCCGGGGCCACTGACACTTCGTCGCGTAATTATCAATAAAAAATCTATTGAGATTGAAAAAACGATGTCTCGAGAATAAAACCCACCTCCCTCAGCGCAATTTGGTCACTCTTGTAATCAGTCTAATTATTTTTTTTTGTATATTATTTACCAAATTCGTTTATTTTAGTACTGTAATAACTAATCTTTAACTCTTTAGACATTGTACAAAATAAAACATGTGAAATTGTGACAACAACCATCATAAACAAGACATCAAAGAGCCGCTTTCATTAAAAATGGAACTTAAGAAGTTTAATAAATCGAAAAACTTAATCCTAAAATCGTAATAAAAAACAATATCGTATTAACATAATACACCAACGCTATCGACCTTTTTACATAAATTATTACATACTGACTTTCTATTCCATAAAAGTAAAAATCGCCAATGAATTAAAACCAATAAATCCTTTAACTCGTTACTTTTTTGGGCTCACGTAGGTGTCGTTGTTCCTTCCTTTTCCGTTTTAATGATTGCAGAGACCTTAGCCAAAATACCAGTTACATATTCGTAAACAATAAAATGCACTATAGGGCTGACACGCACTATCGCTAAATAATATTTTTTAATATGATACATAGAGGATTATGTGATAGAGAGGGGGCAGGTAAGCAGGGTTTACTTTAAACCAATTAAATATCCATCTAAAAAGATTCCTGTACACGTAATTTGGCTTTGGATAATAGAAATCCGTTCGGAACCCAGTACGAATTTCGATACTCCAACTCTCATTTAATATCCCTGGTTTCCAAACGAAGTCCATTATGTTTCAGAAAAATTATAAATCTATAAGAAACATATTGAACCATGTGGGGTCGAACCCGTTGATTTTTATCTTTACATTACTATCATACCAACCAGGCCGTTAAACAATGTCCATAATGCCATTTTGACTTATTTAGTGTGATATTAGATAACCTGAATTATTGTTTATATTATTATAATAATTATTTATATGGCCCATATAAATAATAAGCTCCTTCATTGACAATTGACACTATAATATAATTTGTAGTTATTGCGACTCAGCGATACTTGGCTCCTATTACCGCCTACATATCGTATGAATAAGCTAATAACTTCACTGTTTTAGTTTTTAATTGAACTCACCTTGATTATATGACGCCGTGACAATGAACATTTAGCAAATTTCAATATCCTTAGACTTCAAGCTATGCAGCGACGTCTTATAACGAACAGTGATCTCACCAATATATTTCAAGCTATCATTTCTCGTTAATATCCTTTCAATGAGTTATTTACATATAAAAACTAGTATGGCAAATACGGTTCGGCGAACATAAACAAAGTGATGTCACCTTGTGTATGAACAAGGCCAATGTTAGCGGGCACGATATAATCTCACACTCACACAAATAGTGATGTCAGAATGACTATATTGAACAATTGGTTTAAAATTAGCTTATTTAAGAAAGTATATCAAATATTCAAAAATTTCGTTCGACAGATTTGATGATTTCTGAGATCGAAAATACATACAACCTTAAATTTTCAGCCTTTCACCAATCCCAATTTTTTAAGTGTTGTTTTAGTAATGTAATAATTTCTCATCCCGCTCGAAAATTCAATTACCACTTGGCAAGTATTTATAACTATATATATAAATATACATATCTTTATTCCTAAATTCAGGTATTTTTTCCATAATACAATACTAAAGTCAAAAAATAAACCTACTTTGTCACCATTCGTAACTTACTGAATATGGTATTATGAACAAGAATATTATTATCCTTGGTGTGCTAACGGACTTAATAGAATATTACGTAAGAAATTCCGTAATAAGTACTAAAATATTATTATTCATCAAATTACTTAAAACAAGGCAAATATTTGAATACATATAACGCGGGCTTTTCAAAAATATCTGTGACAAATTTTTCTGATATTAACCACAATACTTCATTCATTATTGCAAGGATTTATGGTAATTCAACCACATGAAACTAAAGAAATATTTCGCATGACGGAATTTTAAAACATAACTAAATAAAAACATAATGTTGAAGTTTTGCTGCGCTATAAATATTTTTTTAAGAAAGTTTCGATTTTCAACTTATTTTCGACGACTGCCTATAGTAGAACTATACTTAAACCTAACTAACTTGAACTACTGATTTAATATTTAATTTATAAGCTTGGTGACTAGTGACATAACGTAACGCGTAAAGAAGCGGCAGTATTTGAGTACGGTAGTAAGTAAATATTTTCATAAACGCACCTACATTTTGGGTCTATTTTATAGTGATAAAATGTGTCATTGATTATTTTAAATATTAACATTTCGTATATCAATATCATATGAAAGAGTTAAAGAGAAGCAGGAACATACCAATAAGTGAAGGCAAAGACACAACGGCTGGGCCAGGACTGGCAGCTTCAGCAGCAATCGGACCACGTCGCTTGGTAGGTGTCCAGGGATTCTGGCGAATGCCCATCAGACTGTCACATGCGAAGACTCTCTTCGACAGAGTAGAATCTGTTCGCACCGCACCGAATCCAGTTCGGCGATAAACCTTTATAAACAACACACAATACCTTACGACTTATTTTTATAAACAAAACTTGAATTTTTACGCGGTAAGTGAAAGTGCAAATATAAAGTATACTAGAAAAGTTATAAAATGAGTGATAAAGTCGACATTTGAACCCACGACCCAAATGGTCACGAGACCGTAGATTGGATTTTGTAATCCCCTTTGTGGTTTTCCAAATCTTACTAAAATGCTTTATTACAAAAAAATTACAAACATATTAGCATATTAGTGCTGCGTTAGTGAAACGCAGACTACAAAAAGCAAATAAATTGTTTTAGCATCAAATAATTAATATTAAAATCTGCGTCACACATACTAGTTATATATGTGCATACTATATTAAAAGCATAATTCTAAATACGCAATACATGTGAGAAAAGTAAATAAAGTAATAAAGAATTGTACCGATTTAGCTGAACTTAATGTAGACTTCATAGATTTCGTCGATTTCATATTTGAGACGTATTAAGTAAAAAGATTTTGGAAAAATATTATTAAATTAGTTATAAAATTCTCACAACAAGAATAAGTAATTATGTAGGGTGTCAAAAAAGATAAAATTATAATAATTCCTATTAATCAAATTAATGATTCTGACATGATTTCGTAGATTCGAATTATGTCATTGTATGAATTGTCACGATTGACAAAGTCAATAATAAATGTTTTATATGGTCAATAATTTGTACTTTATGTGAATGTACTTACTATATGAATTTTAACCGGGTCTAAACGTAATTAGATTATAGTTAAAAATTAATACCATACAATATAGGATATTTTAATAATAAAGATAATATTAATCCTTAATATAATACAGTAAAGTCACAAGTTTATCTAGACTCTCCTTTTACAAGTCCTACATTACTTGTGATTGTATATTCTCTAGATCCTAGAGTTGATACTAGTATCTTTCGTCAGTACCTAATGTGAAGGTAAACTTTCGACTACTCTTCTATGTAATGTAGAGTTCGTGGATCCTCCAAATTTATTGTGTATGTATAAAAAGTAAGTACGATTTCAAAATATTTGTGTCTTATTTGGCTTCTGGATAATCTAGTTTTAGCCCATGCTACTTTATTAGGCACTTATAGGCTATACTCGACGCGAGCTAGATTCTAGAATTAGAAAGTCAAACTAAGTATACTTTGAGAATTTCTACGTTCACTATAAAGACACTTTTGGGAGGAATACAGACTTTCTTTGAAACCTATACCAGTACTGTCTGTAGTTTACACAGGGAGGACAGATTTAAAAACTTTTAACGGTTTAAAACTGCAAAGCATCCAAGAAGTCAGGGCATCGGTAAAATAATTAAAGTTTAACTAATACAGTTTGCGTTTTAAACGGTTAAAACGTGTTTCATTTATACCCGAATTAATTTGTTGTAAAAATTAAAAAAAATTGCATTCTTTTGCGATAAAAAAAATAGAGTCCAGTACTTATTCTTTGCTAAAATGCATATAAACATTTATAATTTTATACCTACTATTAATAGCTTTCAAGTCTTCAAGGTTAATATAGCAATTAGAAATAAAGTTTTACAGAAACTTTTAGAGGCATTAATTTTAACTGTCTTCTTTAATATTTATGAACACGATACCTGTTTCACAATATTATATCAATATTTTTTGTATAGCTTTACTTGTTATAGCGATATACCTATTTGTAAAATATGATAAGACATCCTCTATCTCCTCAAAAGTCTCCGTGTAAAGCCTGTTTAATTAAACCTATTTCAGTTACATCACTAAACATACAGCATTACTTATCCGACTTCTTTTGAAATCAACTCAGTTTTTTACGTAGATAGCTAATTGCAAATGCGGAATAGTAGAACCCGCTACGGCCCACATATCAATTCCTTTTATCGCCTTCATACATCGCCCACGAGACATTAGTTTTATGACGGAAATGATTTATTGTAATTACATGTAATTCACTTAGATTTTATTGTTAAAAATGCTTCTTTCCTGCTTAGAAGATCTATTTAATCACGCCGTAAGCAACAATAGAATTCCAATTTTGAAGACGCATCACTTTTCCATCTAATTTATATTTAAAAAGATTTAATATATAAAATATTGTCCTTTGGCATATTATCAGACAGATCTCTGGGACTAATTGGTAGCGTGGCTATTAGAATCCTGGGTTCGAATCTTAAGAAAACTATAAACCGTTGCGGACGTGTTGGACACAGAAGTTAGTGGAAAGGACCCAAAAATGTGTTCGCCCCGTGACCGTCAGGGGGAAATGAGATTTCACATATGTATCCTAAAAAGTAACTTTTATGCCATGCGTAATAATATGATAATGTTTATATTATTAAACTGTATATTATAATTTCAGCAGTGAATCTAAATTCTAGACTATCCTACACTCAAATAGCATAAATTTATAAAGTTACGGCAATATGGATGTATGAAGAATTTCGTCGCACAAACCTGAAAAAGTACAAGTTGATATCCAATTTAGTGCCAGGTAGTACGAGTCACTGTCATGAAAAATGAATAAAAGCGTATTTGGGCCATTCGCATCATTGTTCTACTCGTAGATTGCTTTTTGGTAGTCGCAAAAATTGTATTGTTTTTTTTGTAACAATAAGAGTTCTGTCTTATTGTGCAAATTATACGGACTAATTTGAATGTTGTAGGCTACAACTTGTAGCTCGTAGGAGGCAAATAAAATAGTTAAAAGATAATTTTATTTACTCACGAAAAACCTATTAATAAGACTACGCTGTCTGTGTATGGGTTGGGGGGGGGGGAGTTTGCGCGGGGGGGGCCCCCTAAAAACCCCCCCCCCCCCCCCCGGGGGGGGAATTTATTTGCAAGTGTGTGCTGATGCTATAAGAATTGATATTATTAATAAATCAACAAAAAATATATAGGTATATTAAACCTAATGTTAGGTTTAAGGGGATACAAAAAGTATACTTTTTTCTTGTCATCAATAAATGGAAAAAGAAGATGAGGTGTAGGACTCGGTAGCTCAATTGGTAGAGCAACAGCCCGGAAAGCCGGCCGAGCCCGCCCGAGCCCCCCCCCCCGCAAAAATTTTTTTTTTTTTTTTTTTTTTTTTTTTTTTTTTTTTCCCCCCCCCCCCCCCCAAATACCTGAAAATTTTTTTTTTTTTTTCCCTTTTTTTTTTTTTTTTTTTTTCCCCCTTTTTTTTTTTTTCCCCCCCCCGCAAACCTTTGGGGGGTTTTCCCGGGGGGGGGGGGGGGTTGGGTGGGGGGGGGGGGGGGGGGGGGTTTGTTTTTTTTTTTTTTGGGGGGGGGGGGGGGGGGGGGGGGGGGGGGGGGGGGGGGGGGGGGGGGGGGGGGGGGGGGGGGGGGGGGGGGGGGGGGGGGGGGGCCCGCCGGTTTTTTTTTTTTTTTTTTTTTTTTTTTTTTTTTTTTTTTTTTTTGTTTTTTTCCCCCCCCCTTTTTTTTTTTTTTTTTTTTTTTTTCCTTTTTTTTTTTTTCCCCCCCCTTCCCCCCCCCCCCCCCCCCCCCCCCCCCCGCCCGCCCCCCCCCCCCGGGCCCGGGGGGGGGGGGCTGGCCGGCGGGGGGGGGGTTGCCCCCCCCGGGGGGGGGGGGGGGGGGGGGGGGGGGGGGGGCGCGGGGCCGCCCGGGGGGGGGGCCCCCGCGGGGGGGGGGGGGGGGGGGGCCGCGGGGCCCCCCTGTTTTTTTTTTTTTTTTTTTTTTTTTTTTTTTTTTTTTTTTTTTTTTTTTTTTTTTTTTTTTTTTTTTTTTTTTTTTTTTTTTTTTTTTTTTTTTTTTTTTTTTTTTTTTTTTTTTTTTTTTTTTTTTTTTTTTTTTTTTTAAAATATGTATTACCTAGTCAACGGTACGGAACTCTACGTGCAAGCTTCCGTCACGCACTTGGTCGGTTTATCAAAGTTATTTTAAATTTATATATAAGGCTGAAGAGTTTGTTTGTTTGTTTGAACACGCTAATCTCATGAACTACTGTGAACTATCAAGGGAGGCTAATAGGCGCTGCGACTAATAGGAGCGAAGAAATAGCGGGAATTGTAGAAAAAACAGGGAAAATACTCTTGTGGGTTTCAGCCTCATACGCTGTGTACGGTTCAAGATACTATCAACAAAGTTTAACTATGATGTAAGATAGTGTTCCTAAAAACGGCATAAGGCAATACCGACAAGCATCGTATCAATTAAGCTTCTTATTGCCTGATAACCTGTACAATAACATTTCATAAAATATCGTCATCGCCCGACCTTAGCGAGAGCTACGATAAATTAAATGTTGTTTGTAATTTAAGGTCATGCCTATGAATGCGATTAGGAATCTAGCTTATAATGATTATTCATAATAAAAAAAGTACTTATTTATACTAACTATGCCCAGATAAAGTTGGGACAACAAATATAGGGACTACTTAGCTAAACACTGACTTTTTTCACTGCTATAACTTTTGGCCATTCGTGATTTTATGTTGATGATGCTCGTCTTCTTTTTCTTTATTTAAAGTTCTATTGTTACAGGTAAAAAATATAATAAGATAATTTTGTCATAACGCTAACTTTGCAGTTTAAAATTAAAAATAAATGAATTTTTCAGAATAAGTTAGTTTGTTAAAAATGTATATGTTATGACGCGGGCCATCTATTTCTTCATTTTATGTTTAGGTGTTACAAATAAAAAATATAATAGCATAGTTTGACAATTACGTGCAACGTCAACTAATCTGCAGTTCTTTAAAAGCGTTAGTTAAATTATTAAATTAATAAAGTGTATCTACTAACAAACTATGCGATCTGAATTGTGATAAAAATAACTTATTTTGTCACATAAGGTACAATCGAAATCATATCTAAAAATAAGAAATTGACTCACCTTCGTTAAAAGCGCTGCTGTCGCTCGGATTAAATTCAAGTTGTTAGTTGTAATTACATAAATTGTACTGTCAACACGTTAATTAATTAATTGTCAACAATAATTCGATCAGCCAAGGCTGTCGTCGAAAAACGTTTCGCGCTCGATCGTCGCGTTGCACTGCGGTCGAATATTACCTATTTTATTTCTGAACAAGCTCGCGGTATGGCTCCGCTGATGTCGCGTAGGCGCTCTTCCCGCCAAAACCGGTTTCCATGGTTACGCGATGCGTACAAATATCGTCATCGCTGAGTCGTTCTGACATAATGTGAGGTTGAACGATAAAAAAACTTTTTTCGTGGGCTTGCGTCGATATTACTAAATATGGTAATCCGAAGGCCTGGAAAAACTGCAAGCGAACAGGTGTACCTATTTACACATAATTACAATTACGTCCAGGTCACGAGCGTAGGGTATCGAAAAGTCGCAAATTAAATTCTTGTCATATAAAAAATTAAGATGTATCAATTCTTTATTCTACCAAATCAAATATCTAACATCTCTTCCATTCGAATAGAATATGGTACGTCGTGGACGGAGGTCCAATTGACCGTATTAGAACGAGCAATGACGTCATCCACCAGTTCTTCGCGAAACTCCTGCCAACGTCTGGACGACACGAACTCTTTAAACAGTTGCTTCTTCGTTGGTATCTATGAAGAAAACATTTGTTTTTTGTTTACACTGTTTATAATACACAAAGCAAAATCATTTAATACCATAGCTGAGTCGTGTTTGTGATCAATATAATTGACATTAAAACAAAAAGCTTGGTGTTGTTGGTTATATTTAGATAATATCAAGAGCGTAAAATTAATGAGAATTGGCCAGACACTAAAAACCGTTTTTCAATATTGTTCGTACCTTCTTTTCCAAATAGTGTTGAATTCTAGTCCAAATATTTGCTGTGTTTCGCTGTAACAACCATATTTTTGGCAAAAGCATGCAATCCACATGCGTAAGCGCAACAATACGGCGATCTCGCATATTCTCACCGAAACCGAAACTCGAGCCTGGATTGAGCTGGCACACCTGACATTTTAATGACTATATAAATAGAACGCATCATATGTTTATTAACAACGATCTTGTGCTTAAGAGAAGTATGATATGCCGAATTGAAGTATTAAAATGTATTTAATTAAAATCGACCGTAATCCCGATATTTTTATACTAAGAATTGAAATTTGGCATTGTGTGCTTTTATCGAGTCCAATAGTTGATTTACTATACAAAACCAATACCTGCATGAAATATGTCTTAAAATTCGGTGGTGGTCGCGACGGCGCTGTTGTTTCAGCAATAACACTTAACCTGTTAATATTAATTTATCGTCACGTACAAAAAATAAAATTATAGAACATTAAGTTCTTATCCAATAAAAGAAAATAGTTACAACAAAAGTTAAGCCTCCAATCCAACCAACAACAGTCGTTGAAAATCATGTCATCTAATCAAAAAGTGAGACAAAGATATAAAAACTAGTAAATGTGTTTAAATAAAACACTTTAACGGTTTAAAACGCGTTATATTAGTTAAACTATTTGAAAGTAAGTCTCCCCGTGACCACGACTGCTGCAAAGCATCCGAAACGTCGGGCCGAAGTTAAAAATCATTTTTAAATAAGTTTAACTAATATATCGCGTTTTAAACCGTTAAAGTGTTTTATTTAAGTGTGTACTACTCGCGTAAATTATAGACAGTATTTAGTAAATGTGTTTTTATATCTTTGTATAACTTAATATACAAATTAAATGTACCAAGATATAACAAATCCAATGTACCTGACTGACGGTCGTAAATCGCCATCGAGTGATGGTCTTAAAAAATCGCGTGATTTTGTATCATCATTAGTAGATGTGGCACTTTCTTTGCTCGTTCTGGGCTTGTCTTGATCAACAATTTGAACACTCTCGCGCCTTTCAGTGTCTGAAGATTTGCGTTTCGAGCCACTTGCTGTTTTTAGGATACTGGCTCTGGGTTTTGTGTCACTTTTATTGCCCTGATCTAACGCCTTAGTGTCAACTGAATCTCTGCCTTCAGTGCTCCCACTGTCTGTTTTCAAATTCTTATAAGCGCCAAAGTATTTTGTATCAAAGTCCTGTTCGCTCTCTTCTTTGGCAACCTTTAGATGATAACACACTCGTGACGGTCTATAACTCATAATATATTACTAATATTCATGTTACTAGAATAAATAATCCAATCTAAGAATGTATAAGACCATCATAACATAGATAAACAATCTACTAAATTTTTGGTATACTACTACTTTTAATCCTAGAATTAATCCCCTTATATTTTTGTAAGTAACCGATGCGAGCGGCTTTGTTATACTTTATTGTACCTATCAAATACTGCTGCAAATAGAATACCTACATATGGATCATATAGAGCATAATAATTGCGACCCAGACGCGTTGTTATGATCACTTGTAGAGACTCAATCATCTGACATCTGCCTGATAGGATGAAGTAGACGAAATTGGCGACGCCCACGCCATCTCCGAGAAGAGTCTCGTTCGGTTCATACGACTTCATCTTGGCAACAATACAACCTTCGCGGCGCGCCACCTACCCAAAACAATAATCATAAGATGCAAACTATACGTTTATATAATAAGTGATCTCAATAGGTAGTATAGTATTTCTTGCACTCTTAAATAACTTTTAAAAGAGTAAAGTTTGGAAAAATGTTATCTATTGAGCATCTTTAAACTTCGGCCGAAAACTACTCTTACCAAATAATATTAAAATTAAGCAAAGGTTTAGTGTAATTTTCCAAAACAAATTTCAAACAATTCTAATGTCACTGGCCGAAAATATATAGTTTATACACAAAAAAACCTAAAACCATAAAATGCGCACACTTCAGTAAATAAAAATATTAAGTCATATTGTACATGTAAGCTTAATTAAAATGCTCAAGTTAATTTCGTACACTATCTTGTTTGTCCTTATTACCTCGTCGAGGGCGTCGAAGTAGGTAAACGCTGACATAGCACGTCGTACTTCATCCCACTGCTTTTGCACAGACGCTTGTAGGACATTCTTGAAATCCTCCTTCATCAGAGCAAGTAATTCGCAATGGCCTAGAGGAAGCACAGTGTTCCTAGATGACGTAACCTCACAATATCAATAGACAAAGCGGCGACGGTTACTAGGCTACCAAACAAATGTTTAATTGAGCGTTCAACACAAGTAGTAAAGTTTGTTTTAATTTGAAAATTTAGAAAAAAATATGACTTGGCTAGGACTTGAAAATGTAATACGTGATGACGTGTAATATATCGTGGTCATGGCTTCAATCCTATCCGACTGCAGTTTTTTTTTCTTCTTAACCTCACCAAGCACAGGTTTTATAGGTGTCATTAAACCTCAATCTGTTTACGTGTGTAGTATACATTTCACTAAAACACTTTTAACGGTTTAAAACGGGAAATGTATTATTTAAACTTTTCACAATTTCTTTTGGAAGAGGCCATTGCCGCTCGGCACATGGATCTATTATAAAAATAGAATAGATAGAAAACTAGTACAAATAAACATTGTAAATATAAGTAAGAAACATTTAAAATTGTAAATTCCAAATTCGTAATAAAGGCTTTTTATTTTTATTTTATTACAATTTATTTTAACTATGACCAAACGTTACATGATTTGCAGCAGTTATGGCCACGGAGAGACTCCCCGAATAATAATTCGTAAATAAGTATACATAATACATTTCGCGTTTTAAACCGTTAAACGTGTTTTATTTAAATATAGTAGTTACTACACAATTCAAAATCGGATAAAAATAGAACCAAGCTAACCAGTTGTAGATACAGTCGCGGTTCTGGGTATATTGTGCAAGAGAGAAACTTCTCCGAACATATCACCCGGGTGCATCACACCAACTTCGATGGAGACATATTGCTGAAGGAGTTCATCGAAGATCATCTGGCTAACGACTACATCACCGGTGATGATGAAGTAAAGAGCGTGTGCTTCGTGGTGCTGACGTACTATAGTTCTTCCGGGTCCATAGTACTTGAAATATGTTACGGCGGCAAGCTTTTTCTTGACATGCTGTTTAAAAAAGGATGATGTTCTATATAGACGTACAGAATACATTAACGGTTTATGAAGTTAGTAAATCCATAGACTTTATTTGTCGATTGTAAGTGTTATGTGTTAAAAGTATTTTATATTAAACGTAGGTACCCACTTTAGTACTTATTAAAACTAATTCAAAAGGTATTCAATCATTTTATGAATAATAGATTGAAGTAAAGTCGTCTCATGTTTCTTGTTCATTACTATTTCTTGCATTAATCTGTATTTCAAAAATTATTTAACATTTCTTTGTTTTATAAAAATAGGTATTAACGTTAATTGTGTAATATAAATAAGAGTGGATTTTGGCAAAAATCACACCAAAAGGCACTAATAATTTATTAATGCATAAAAAAAAATATTCAATCATCATTATAGAATTTTATTTCACATACTCACGTTCGGATACCTTTTGAAACATTTCAAACCACCTATTATACGAAAAATATACTTCTTTTCTTGATCAGTACGTTCCTCTGCGGGCTTGTTTAAGAGAGCTTTATCCTAAAAACATGATGCTATAGTCGATTTACAAAATATGTTGCAGACGAGTAATTATTTGATTGAAGACAAATTTACGTGTATGCTTAACAAATGCTTCTTCTTCGCTTTCCCGCGCACGGCTTGTTCTACCCTCCGTTTGACGTCGTCTAAGCCCTCATAGTGGTCTACTCCTTCAATTAGCCAGTAAGCATTTGCCATAACCATACGCCCCAAAGCACGGAATAGACATTTTGCGTGAAACTTTCGTTTCATCAGCTCTTCAGGGTCCTAGTATTATATTACGTCGTATGAATAGCGATAGTAGATACTTATTCAGTACCGAGAAGTTAGTAACAAGGGAATTAATATTCGTTTCTATATATGTATTGTATTTTAATGTGCCTATATTGCTAATTTATTATTTATTATAGGACGGTTCAAGCATATTATTACGTTGCAAAAAAGACTTAGTATTTGCAATTAATATATTATTAAAGTATGTTAGCAAAATTATACCAATTCTTTCTTAGGTCCACCGCGTCCTGCCATAATTATTCAATAAAAACTATTTAAAAATCTTATAATGTTTCAAACTATATCATTAAATAAATATTTTATAAATATAGTTGAAAATAATATTTAAATTTGACTTTGACAGACCTTAAATTACTCATAATATGACCCATCGATACTCATATATGTATATATAACTGAAGAGTTTGTTTGTTTGTTTGTTTGAACGCGATAATATCAGCAACTACGGGTTCGAAATAAAAAATATTTCTATGTTGGTTAGAGCATTTATCGATATAGGCTATAAAACATCGCCCTGTGACTAATGAGAACGAAGATACAGCGAAAAATGTACAAAAAAAATGGAAAATTATACATCGTTATGGGTTTGCGAAGGGTGCGCTGTAAAAACGGTTTATGATAGCCAAAAAATATGTATGAAAGAATGATTCCTCTTTAAATGATCTAAAAAAGAAAAAACCTCTGACGCTATCAAGTCTACTTTTCAAGATTCCCTTCCAGAGTCACGGGAAGGGACGCTATCGACGTCGTAGGTAAAACGAATTTGGTTGCTCAAAATTACGATTCTCGCAAACAAAGTCGCTGGTCCAGCTAGTAGGTAATTTATGAAATAATTAAAATACCCTAGATAAATATATAATTAAAACTAGAATAATTTTAGACTTTAAATTTTAGATCAAAGTCAGTCATAACTTAAAACGATTTTTATTGCAAAGCTTTTACGCTTCTTTTAATTTACTTTTGAATTATATATGTTTGTAATATAAATCAATATAATAATAGTAATAGCTATAAGGAAAAAGTTTTTAAAATATTTTAACTCTATGCACTTACACAGAGTTTACGAGACAATTGTCACGTTGACATTGTATAAAATGTCGGCTGTCAAGTCAATGATAGTGCATTTTGCCGACTAAAATTGTATTGTGTATTCAATAGCTACTGACAAAAATTGAAATAAAATTGTTCTCAAGAGTTAATCCTGTCGTAACTCGTATATATAAATAAACACAATGGTGAGTACTTCTAGTTATCATAATTATTGTAATTAGAAAACAGTAAAACATTTATATTTTGCTTTCAGAGTTTCGGTCTTCCTTCCGTTAAAGTAAAGGCGGAGCATGATGCTAATGTCTGTAAACCTGTCCACCAAAGCTTGTTTGGAGTGCCAGACCCCATGGTGGCTGGACTTGGTTCCACTAGGAACAAGTTAGCTGTGGCACATCCCCTACAAGTTTCAGAAAAAAATGTATGTTTCTATATATAATATCATGCAAAAACATCTTTTTAATTTTGGATGCCAGAGTTCTAAATAAATCAGGATTATTTAGTTTAGTTTGCAAGTTGTAACATTCCTTAAAATGTTGTTTCTCCTTGTAATCAAGTGTCATATATGTTTCAGTATCATTTGAATGAAGAGAAAATGAACATGGCTATGCTCAGAAACATCCAAGGCCTCCATGCACCAATGAAACTGTCAATGGAAAAAAGGTTTACAAATAAGGTTAGATAGATTAAATACTGCATATCGCACCCTTAGTACTACAGTGACCAAATTAAAAAAAAAAAAGACTTTTTTGGCAAATTGTATAAAACTATGATGATGGCGTTATTATAGTAATGTCAGTGTATTTATCTAATTTTACTTACATTTTGAGCATATACAAAAATATGTGTAAAACATGAAAAATTTATTTCCATGACTTTTGTAGTCAACATGCCTTAAACCCTAGGCAATTAACAACCTCATATGCACTTCAATCTCTTAGTAGTTAATGTATAAGTCGAAATTAAAATGTAACAGGATGTTGACCACTACTACCACTGTACTACTTGAATTTAAATTTATATGACATCTTACATCAAAATATAGCCCCAATTGTATATTTGACTAAAAATTAAATATACAATTGGTTATTGAGATATTGTTGATTGAACAGTGCGGTCTAGTTTTTCAAAACACATTATAATTATGACTTTAATATGAAAATTTTAGATTGGACGTTTGCCATTCCTGCCAAGTTCCAATCTTCAGTGTGATGTTCTTACTGGAAGGTACTTAGATATTGGATTTGAAGATATACTTAATGTACCAGAATTACGTGAAGTTGCTGGTCAGCCGCATGCTGTTGTCGAGCGGTCAATGGGATTACTGTAAACTTATTGTAGCATAACAATTATTCTCTTCTGTAATTTTTACAAATAAAGGTCTAAAAAGTTTATATATGCCGTATAATTTACCTTTAATATGGAATCTACAACAAATTGCATTTTCAGTTTTGTAAAGAATATGGTGAATTAATAAACAAAACAACTCTAAAACAATTAATTTTTTTATTTAAATCTTCTTATTCCTTAACAATATCAAGTATTCTTAGTTTGCAAATTTTCTTTACTTCATTTATTCCAGTTGTAATTTCTTGATCTGTAGTATTTAGTATGCGACTTTCCAATCCCTCAATTATTGATTGTATTTTATTTTCTCTTGCACAGATTATAAATGGAAAACCAAATTTTAGTTTGTACCTGAAAATAAAAATGTTATTAGATTCCTTTTTTTAATATTTGATTTGCGCGCCATCTCTATTATAATTGTAATACTATCAAGAGTTTCTACATAAGCAAACCTAAGTATTAGTTATAATATTCAACAGATGTCACTAACCACAGACAATCTAAATATTTCAACAACTTTCACTAGATGGCGTTGCTTGTATTTGTAACGTATGCTTTAAATAGTTTTCGTATATGAAAAACAAAAATTCCTTATACATAGTTGTGTATATTATATGACTTATTTAATACCTTTCATTGTAAGTGCTGACAATGGATTTTTGTTCCGAAGTTAGCTTATCCAAGCCAGCACTTTTCTGCTCCTCCGTAGACTCTTTGGTAAGCTCCCCCAAGGTTGCAAGACGTCCAGCTAAGTCTGGGTGAGACTTTAATATTACTTGTTTTTCTGCAAATTTAATTCAGAATACCTAGTTACGTGTAAGTAAGTAGATAGGTAAACACTAGACTAAATTGACAAATATGGCATCAAACAAAACCCAATTTCCCACTTTTTGTGTGGTTATTTAACGCGAGTATGCTTCATGCATATTCGCTTTACTAGTTTAGGTAAACAGACTCGCGGTCCGTTCCTATCTATCTAGACGTCTATGATGAATCTATTTATAAATTATAAAGTGTTGTTCAAAATTAAACTAATATAAAATAACTCGATGTTAATATCCTATAAATTGCATGCATAAGGCCTTTGCGAATCTGCAAAGCTAATTTGATTTTCAAGCTATTCAGTCGTCAGAACGGTCTTTAATCTAGTTTGAAGAGACTCAACTAAAAACTTTGTATAATTAAAACCTTTTTATCAAAAGAACATAAGCGCATATCAATTGAATTATAAAGTGGTACGTTTAAAACAAAGAAGCATTTAACTTAACATTAACCACTTATCTACGCATATTTCTAAATTCATCGATCAGATACTAAGTATTCTTTTTACGTTTCAACAGACTATTTATATGATAATAATAAAATAAGGTTATTCAAGTAAATTATTACGGACTTTTAATTAAAGCTTATTTTTATATTTTAGTTTTACTGACCGTCAGACTGACGTACCTACACCTACTAAGTTTAGACACAAGAGAAGTAATGCATATAGGTAAAGTAAATAATAAGTAAGTATAGTTTAAGCTGTGTAGAAATTCATTAGCCCCAACCCCGGGTAGAGACGTCTAATATTGTTCAGATATATAGTTCCACACATACATCCACTATTATCTTTTCTCAGTGCTGTCTAAAGGTGTGATCGTGTTACAATTATGACAGAGTTATAAATATTCACCCTCAACACTGAGATCGTCCAAATATTTGTGGAACGCAGCACAAAGGTCGGTTAATCCGTTGAACGGACGTTTTTTCTTTACTCTCACCGCGGCGTCTTTACATAGCTCTATGACATTCCCGAACACCCACTCGAACTGGTCATTAGACATAGAATTCACTTCAGCCACACTCACGGGAGACATTTTAGCTCTCACTATTAAAATCAACTAAATAACGACACATACGATACTATACTCTTAGGTCATTAGTTCATTGCGATAAGGTTCTGACAGTTAGTTAATTGCGTCGGTACCTACAGATAATGACAACGGAAACACGTACAAAATAACACAGCCACGTCTTTTATAAATAAACCGTTATTTATGGGTTATTAAGAGTTCTTTTACCTAATAAGGCTTTACCTATAAATTACATTCTACGTTACCTAAGTAGGTAGTATAGCACAAAGGATAACTCTTCTTTCTCTTACTCGACCATGTTGTTGTTAAAAAGATTAAATTAGTAATTTATAGGTTATTAAATTATTGGTATTTCATTGTCGTGAATTGTTTGTTGTGTGTTTAAACTACTTTTAATTTGAAATTTTTCGACAATCTTTATGATTAATTTAACGATCGATAATTTTATATACAATTTAATAATATCGTTATTTATCAAGCTTATATTTTGGCTGTTAACCCAGAAATGTATATAGAAAATGAATTAAGGTAACAAATGTTCAGAGCACAGGCTTTTCCTCCATTTCCCTTGTAAATCACCAAGTAAAGAGGAACAAAAGCGACATTTATGTGTCAGTTGTATAGAGCGCGAACGAGGGATAAATCACAGTGCTAACCCGAGATGGCGCTAACGGCCCCTCGGGGAGGGCGACGCGACAAATTGTCGCGGGGGAGCCCTTAACACCATTCGCAATATGAATGCATAACCGATTTAGCTCTGCCTCAAATTACAAACCCACTTTTCTCACAAAACCACAATTGTAATTAAGTAGGTAGGTTCATACATCATTTTTACGAAAAGAACAAAGTTTTATCATTTGAACCTCTTTTCCAGCCGCTGGTACCTAAGTTATTTTATATAGGTTAAATACAAATTCCGTTTGAATTTCGATATATCTAAATTAACTCATCGTATTAATCTAATAACGTAATCTTAACATGTCGTATTACTAGCACATTCATTAAACATAAAAGTAACAGAACTTGGTTTTTTTTAAATAGATGTAAGTTTTATTGGTATAGTAGATACTTAATTAGCTTAATAGTATAAATGGCTCATTGTAACTAAATTTCGTATTGCTTAATTCGCACAGCCTATCATAATCAAATTCAGCGCATAATACTGATTTTGCGGTAAATAGCAATAATTCATTAAACATTTTACAGCCTGTCATCGCTGTAACACCAAAAAAGCGCCATTAAAACACTAGCAATGATAGTTATTAAAAAAATATCAAAAATGTTTTCCAAGTGTAATTACAAACATAATTTACCATACAAAACATTACGACTGTGACACTCTGGAGAAATTAAATGTGGAGCTTTAAAATTATATGGAAACAATAAACATAAAAGCTTTGGTGTGCGCGTCGCATGTGATTGCTGTGAATTAATTAAATGTGCTTTTCATTAGGTCTAATAAATGCCGCTCGCGTCCGCCATGTTGGTTATTGCGTCCGTCAGGGCGGGGTCTCGCGTAGATAACAAAAGCTCTTAGCCGAACACGCTTGACTCATCGCCTCGCCTACCTGCCTTATTTAATCCACCAATATTCTATAGATTCTCTTCTTAATCCCTTCTGATAATATGTGAAAAAGTATATTGCGTCTCGATTGACGGGCGACGGCTATTATAGTTGATACATATTGATTCTTTTAAATTTTTTTTTTTTATTTATACGGTGCTAAACATCTAACTAAGTATGTCGCCCAATTATCGTTTATTAAACTTGAAACACGAAAATAAGCTCTATCTACACTCTAAACATATCTACATAGCCTTTTTTTTTAATTTTTTTTCCCCCCCCCCCCCCCCCAAAAAAGAGGGGGCGGCCACACCCACCATTTGATACCAGAGAGCTTTACTAACCAATTTTAATTTTTATAGGTGCTTAAATGTATAAGATGTCGTTATCGTTTATTAAACTTGAAAACCAGCTTTACCAAGCTAAAGCTTTAAAACCTATATAGTTTAATGTTGATTATTACAAATTTAACATCAATAAAAATAATGTATAACTAAGTTAAACTTACCTACCTATTTTTTCTTAGATCTAATAAATCTTTATGACATGTATTGTACCTTATCTGTTAAGTATTTAGTGTGCTTGGAATCATTTTGCAGGACCTTTTTCAACTTCAAAATCGCCCAAACGAAAAAAAAATGTTTGCAACTTTATACAATTCAATGCTTTCATTATGAAACAGTTTTATTTGCTAATTCAATCAACCTTATGTTAGATACTGTCTATAGTTTACGCGAGTAGTACCTAAACATTGAAATAAACCACTTTAACGGTTTAAAATGCGATATATTAAGTAGTTAAACTTATTTGAAAATGATTTTTAACTTCGGCCCGACGTTTCGGATGTTTTGCAGCAGCCGTGGTCACGGGTCTCCCCGTTCATTTTCATCATTTCATTATTTTCAAATAAGTTTAACTAATCGCGTTTTAAACCGTTAAAGTGTTTTATTTAAACCAACCTTATGTTATTATCTATGTTAAGGTAGGTACTTTGCAAAATATAGAGAAAAAAATTGTATCTAAAAAAGGGAAAAAAATAATAAGGGATACAAAAAAGAAGATGAAGCGAAACAGCTACATAGGGGAACCTATAAAAACGGAACAGCAGTTAGTCTTAAGATGGACATCGAAAGCGGAGAGGCACGGAGAAGGCAACAATAATTTAGATCTCCTAATAAACATAATGCAAGTGTAGATAAAAACAGTTTAAAACGTCGGGCCGTACCTAGTTAAAATAATTTTCGAAAAAGTTTAACTGATATATATCGTGTTTTAAAGTTATATTTATAAAACTTAGTTAAAATATATTAGTTAAATTATTTGAAAATGATTTTTAACTTCGGCCCGACGTTTCGGATGCTTTGCAGCAGCCGTGGTCACGGGAGACTCAAATAAGTAATAATATATCGCGTTTTAAACCGTAAATGTTTATTTAAATGTGTACTACTCGCTAAACTATAGACAGTATTTAGTATAATATTTGTTTTAAGTGTAATATTGACTCGATCGATCTTTTAAAGTGGATTGACTACAAATGTTTTATTACAATACCCATGTAAAACCCTTTTTTAATAGAGAAGCATGAAGTTTACTTGACGGTAGGTAAAATACCCTACGTCTAAACAAGATGCGCTGACGGCCTATTTAAAATATCGGGCTATCAGGGCTGTAGTGCATATGTCAAAGTTATACATATTTTTAATAACTATAATTCCTATAGACCAATCTAGATTAAAGTCTAGTCTAACTTTAACTACTTAAAACAGAACCCTTTTCCAACACGTGACAGTGCCAGAGTGATTTACCACCGATCGTTTCTTCAATATACGTTAAGTTTGCTCTAGACAATCTAAAAGCCACGAATCTATCTACAATAAGGTGAATTTATTTACACGCGACAGGGTAAACTGGGAACCCTTTATTTCTTTGTTTGGTTTTAGTTGTGATAAAATAGATAATGTGTTTCTTTATGGCAGAAATCGTAAAACTGAAATGATCGTAACGTTCGCCGGCGTCATGGGGTTACGAATTTGGGACCGAATCAGGTCCAAAGTATCACAATATGTGGGGCAAACAAAAGTATCTATTGTATAATCTGTAACGTGTTCGATTACAGAAAATTTTATGGTACACTTACAGCTTAAAAATCGATTGAAAAAAATGTACGACACGGGCAGGTCTTGAACCGGCATCTGCGGCGTTCCGTGCAGTTGTTTTAACCAATTGAGCTATCGATTTTTTTTCAACCTATTCACTACACTTCTCGCACATTGAAAAAACAGGATTTCAGACTAAAATCGATTTTTAATATCATGTGTGTCATTATTCACAGGTAAAAAATGTTAAAGTTTTTACACCTATAGCTTTTAAACGTTCAAATTATGGGCATAAATCTCCACTCGCCGAAACATCTATGTAGCCATGCATAGCCTATTAATCTAGATAGGTATTATTTGTCTAGTATAGAATGCTAATGAGGAATCACGCCTGTGATAATTGAAAGGTAAGTAGAGGTACTTCTGTAAGAATTTCATCTAGTTAGGTATAATACCTACTTCCCGATTCAATGCCAATGTTTTAAAAAATTGTACAATTAACATCATACTTTAGTGATGGTTCGCTAATATGGTAATGTGCATTTTAAAAGTTTTTCTATAATCTTCTTCTTATCTGTCTTATAAATATTTTTTTTATACTAAAGCATACCTACTAGTTACTACAATTTCTTGGTAAATTTATGAATTAAATTCTTTTCAATTTATAATTACCCTATTAAGTTATTTATATTTCTTATAAGTTATAACATAAATTAAATAGGTATATTAGGCATAGTACCTACTACAATTCAATTTCAATGAAATTATTAAAATTCTTCACATATTACTATATTAACTGCATATGAGAGAGTATTTTATATAAATTTAAGAACTCATTAGACTAATAAAATTGCTGAAACAGACAGGTCTCGAATCTAACACCATCAGCGTCCTGAGTCTTCAAATAACGTTCTTCATATGTGTGTGACTTATGTTTACCTGCATTTGAACTGCACGACCTTCCAATTTCGAACATTTCCGAGCGCTGCGGCGGCATTTGATTTATGCTTTATATCGTGCGGCGCGACTCGCGGGGCGGAGGCGGGCAGGTACGCCGCCGTTTATAGCAGAACTTTAATTTACAACGGCTCTAAATTACGTGGATTTACTGCGCGCCTTTATTGGCCCGCTACGGACGCCCGCTCGCCGCCCTTCCACCCCACTTTCCAATCTTCCCTTTGTTCGAGGCGAATTAAAACTAAAATCGAAGTTAGAAATGCATTATACGTTTCCGTAGGGGGAAAAAGGAAACGTTGAAACACCTATTCCTAATGGCAGGTTACTCATGTTTGGAAAAGGAACACGGCACAAATGGAATTCTATTTATTTATATACACTAGTAT